AAAAGAAAAAAAGAAAAAAAAAGAAAAAGAAGAATAAAAAGAAGTATAAAACTACGAAGAGCGCATGCACGACGAGTGTATGATAGAGACCTACGTGCTATTCGACATGTACATAGTAGTAGCCTCTAGCAAGCCCTTTGAAGCCCCCATTTGCCCTCGGCGATACGCCGACGAGTGGTTTGCTTTTTTGTCGGGCCCCGCGCGTACGGAACCTAAATGTAGGCGGTGGTGTAGGTGGCGCGTGAAGGTGCTGTCAGGACTCTGGAGGTCAGGATTCCCGCTCCCGAACAAAGATCTTTCGGTACGAAGGAGCCACCGTCAACGACGGTGACCTCCGGTATGATCTCGACGAGGCGATCGCGAGGAGAACGACGAGGTTCCTCTTCTTCCTCGGATTTTGTCTCTGTCTCTTTTTTCGAATCATAAACGATCGGGGAGGACGAGATTGTGAATTGTTTCTCAAAGTCTTTATGACGAAGTGAGCATTCCTCTGCTACCGTTGCTCGCGTTATCTGATTGGATCCTCCTCCTCCTCCTCCTCCTCCTCCTATTCCTACTCCTACTCTTCCTCCTCCTATTCCTCCGTTATCATCAATCATTCTCATCGCGGCAGCTCTTTTCCTGCGAGATCTCCTCGATGAAGATCTTCTTTGGCTGACGTTAACTCCAGCACCAGCTCCAGCTCCAATTCCTCCTCCTCCTCCTCCTCCTCCTCCTCCTCCTCCTCCTCCTGTTCCGCCAGCTCTCGTTCTCTCAGCCTCGTCGATTCTCTCGTTTCGCCGATTCTCTTTCACGGACTCTAAATGTTCTACCCCGTCGATGGCAGCCTCCTCAGTTGGAACCGAAAACACAGCCGATAATTGTCTCTCGGCTATGACGGCGGCCATTTTGTCGTCTCCTTTCCCCTCGTCAATAGACTCGGTTAAGCCGAATTTTCGCAAGCTGCCCTCCTCCTCCTCTTTATTATCCCGGACGAGAAGAAGGGCCAACTCCGATGATCGAGAACGGAGATCGGAGACGACGGACGTGCTGGGAATCGAGGAGGAGATGGCGGGAACGAGGTTGCAGGTCTCGGTAAGAGCGGTACGCACGGGGGTGCTCGTTATACGGGGCGTTTCGAAAATTACAGGCGTGACAGATCTTGATACCGCGTTTACGCACTTTGTCCCGTGCTTTGTCCCATCGGCCAGGTTCCGAGTAGCCAGTGCCTCCTGTAGTTCCCGTCGCAAGGCCAAAGTTTCCTCCTCGAAAGCTGCTATCTCTCGACCCTCGTTGCTATCCCGGAATAGAATTTCTCTTTATTACCGTACCGGCCTATCGCTTCTTATCGCAAACTACTATTATTTTTTAACGTTCGATATCACCGAACAAGGAGTGTCCGATGGACAACGAATGTCATTTTCCTAGTCAAAAGTATTCGTCGATAATTCAATTTATTAATTATTAAATTAACGTATTTATCGGCAAACCACCATGCTATTACGATCATAAGACGTGTACGGATATTGACAAGGGAAGATAACACTACTCTGGACAATTTTTTTTTTTCTTTTTTTTATCACAAATACGACATATACCTTTTTCGCGACTTATACATGTAAAATGATGTTGTATATAGCAAGCGACGAATATGGTCGCTTTAGCCGTTATGAGCGAGAGAGAAAAAGAGAGAAAAAGAGAAAGAAAGAGAGAGAGAGAAAGAGAGAAGAATACTATATGAAATTCTTTAGAAACCTCTTTCCTCCCTCAACCCTCTTACCACAAAGGAAGCATCTTTTCATACGTTAAAAGGTAACTCAAAGCCACTCACTTTACGCTCGACTTCAGTGCAGTTACTTCTTTCTCCAACTTAGACACTCGTCGTTCGGTTTCCTCCTTCTCCTTTATGAGTTTCGACACTTGGCCCTGAAATGAGAAAAATGATATTTATACTTTTATCATAAAGTAGGGAATATAAACGATAAAAAAAAAAAAAAAGATAACATAAATTACAACCAAATAATTTTTATAATCTTTGTGATATCTAAAGAAGAACATAATAAAGATGCGTCATTTGAACGTTCATAATTTATTTGAAAGATAATAAAACGCGATCCTTAAGTTTTACGCATATGAATATAAATATTTTATTCGATCGCAACCACCATCGTTCATAGTTAACTGAACTACATTTACATCTACGACAATGGAACGTTCCCGGAGGTTCAATTACGAGATTGCCAATAGGCAGGCGGCATGGCGGTGGCCGCCATCGCTTCGGTTGATGAGGCTAATGGATGGTTGAAACCTGAGAAGACAGGGCAAAGAGGGAAAAGAGGACGAGGGAGACCGGCTCTGACAGCCGTTAAGTGCCCCATCCTCCACCTTTCTCCACTCCTCAAACGCGTCGTTCTGCAGGCACCTCCCTTCTCTGTCTTTCTCTCTCTCTCTCTCTCTCTCTCTCTCTTTCTCTTTTTTTTTTCTCTTTCTCTAACATTCGTTCGCTCACTCTCTCATCCCTTCTCTCTCCCCCATGTGAAACCTAATCACTTTTACCACGTCACGGATATTTCGTATTATGTCTACATTAGGTTCTCCGATATCAACTGCCAGTCAGTTAGAACGTCAATATCTCCCTTTGGTCAGAAATAAGATCATTCTTATAACGCTAGTCTAATCTGTGAACGTTGTTAATTTCGTTTCCGCGCGTTCGTTTCTTTTTTGTTTTATTTTATTTTATTTTATTTTATTTTATTTTATTTTATTTTATTTTATTTTATTTTATTTCATTTCATTTTATTTTATTTTATTTTATTTTATTTTATTTTATTTTATTTTATTTTATTTTATGTATGCATTCTCAAAGGGATCCTCTCTCTTTTTCATCTTTAATTATCTTGCTTGTTAAAAATTCAATCAATTTTCGTCTATGTGTTATACCAAGATAATGACTTTGATCAAGTATTTAACAAGAAAAGAAGTAAATAAACGAGGGTCAAAATAAACTGTCTCTTTTGTATAAGAAAATGACGAAAAGTGATAAGGCTTTCATGCTCCAAACTTAGAAAAATACGGATATAATCAGCTGATAGGAATTCGCATATACGTGATAATCGAAGGGAAAGGATCGAGAAAGAAAATGAACAAAGGATGTTGGAATCACCTGGCTATCCTAATCAAACAGAACAGTATCAACACATGAATAGTATATCTACGACCGTAATATGACCGACCGTGAAAGTTCGAGTGACTAAACTTCAAAAAGATCGAATCGTATCTTAAATATATATATGGGATAGTTCGAAATGATGATAAATTATTTGTCATTGATCTTGATATTTTTAAACTTTCAATCGTTTTATAGAATTTAATTCTCATTATGAATTGTTTTCTTTCAAATTAAAAAATATCTTTTTAAATCATGATATAAAATAAAAACAATAGATATACATACCTTTAATATATCTATTTCTGTTAATCTTTGATTATGTTTCTCCTCCATCATAGATTGTACTTTTATCACTAATCCTTCCTCGCACATTTTATTCGCTTCCCTGATCTCGCGAATAAGATCTGCAGTTATAAAAAAAAAAAAAAAAAAAAAAAAAAAAAAAAAAAAAAAAAAAAAAAAAAACAGGAATAAAAAAAAAAGAAAAAGAAACTAGTAATTTTCTTTTCTATATAATTGATATAAAATCAAAGAAAACAATAAAAACTTTTACCTGACAACATTCCTGGTTGATAATCAGAACTATGTTTATATTCTGAAAATTTTAATTTCATTGTCTCTAATTCGAATTTAGCCTCACTAAGTTCTTTGAAAAGTTGACCATTGCTTTTTTTCAATTCTGCCATCTAAAAAAAAAAAAAAAAAAAAAAAGAAAAAAAAAAGAAAAAAAAAAAGAAAAAAAAAGAAAAGAAAAGAAAAGAATCAATGAGTATATACAATGAGTATTTATGTAAATTTCTGACATTACATAGAAAATAATTCATTCAAATATATCATAAAATTATATACCAAAATTTCTTAATTTTAATATCATATTAATATATCCAATTAACTGAATCTAACCTGTTCAATGAGAGATAAAACTAATTTGTTACTCCGACCAATAGTTGTAATAGAGCTACTGCTATCAACACTATCCGAATCATCATCCTGACTATGTACAGGAGGTTCTGTAGGTCCTAAACCTGGATCTGAATATCTCCTATGTTCTGAACTTATCTCATCTTCATTAATTCCATTACTTTTATTAGCTACTGGTGGTAAACTAGCATAATCTCCATTCTGATAAGACGACAATACTGTAGAACTAGTTTTATTCTCTTGCAGACTAGTATATCCATTTGGAATAACTGGAGGTTTGGGATAAAACTTTTGCTTCAGTCTACCATGAACATTATGTACACCATAAGGCATTGGTTGATATAATCTATACATAGTTGGAAGTGATACAGGTTCCATCGTATATGTCATTGGCATTGGTGAATAACCACAAACACTAGGATCTGACATTGCTGCGAATAAACGTTGTCCATTATGATTCGGTATATGAGATTGAATTCCTGGTTGCCATAAAACTTGTGGATATTCCATGTTTGACATTGTGTTATTACTTTGTTCATATTGCCCATCACTCACCCAATTACCAAACATATTATTCTTTTTACTTGTACGTTTTTTACTTTTCCTGCAATAATATGATTAATCTTCATCTTTGTCATTGTTTCTATGCATCATATTCGAAATCTATTTTTCTTTTTTTTTTTCCAACATAACCAATCATGCAAGTATAAATGCAAGTATATAAAACTAAATTCGTTAATAACTAAATTAGAATTTAAAGAAACTCGTGATTTACCTGTTCTCCATTTTAATTTCCAGTATAAATCTTATGAAAATTAAGTTGCGCAAAAACCTCGTGACACAGAGAATAACGAAAAGAAAACCACCTAATGAACGTAAAAGTTCAAAACTTGATGATTTCAATCATATATGGCACAAAGTTATTAAAGTACCAGATACTGTCACGATGCAATAATGATATCAGTTTTTTCATCTCGTGTCATTATTGTCATTGAGGAGATTCGTTGTTTAGAAAACATCATTCAGATAATTTACGCGGTAATCCTCTTCACTGCATGCATTCATATCATATAAACACCCTGAAAAAATGACTCCTTTTATTACGATAAATAATGCAGAATATCGTAATAATCGTAACAACTTAATCCTTTGTAGAAAATATTTCTCAGAATTCGTGTGGATTTATACACTAATATATAAAATAATCGAATACGAGAATATAATTTAAACCTTAGGGAGGCTAAACTGATACAAGAATGTTAAGTTTTCAATTACGCAGGAATGTCTTATAGGTGCGCTGGTGTCGCCGATGTTAGTGCCTCCTATCGGTTAATTCATTATACTAAACGTTGTAACAAAATTGTAGATAATGTATATACTGTTTCTATATTATTCCGTAGGTAAAACAGTACTTATTTACATTAACCTTAGTTTACTCGGTTTATCTTGTAAAAACGTGCTGTATGTTTATCCTATAACAAAAATATTATTTTATTTTAAAGATAAATATGGGGAAAAAAGATAAAAATAAGAAAAAGTTAAGTGGCACGGCAAAAACGGCAATTAAAACGGAAAAAAAATTAAATGCTAAACAGAAGAAAGAATTAGCAGCTCTTGGAGAGGTTAAATTTGCACCTAAACATCTTATAAAAATGAATTGAGATATTAGAACTTTTATATATTGTTGCTTATAATTTGATATTAAATAAATTATTTTAAAACTTTAGGAGGATATAGAAAAAGTTATTGCCGATATTGAACGGGAAGAAGCTCGTAGACAACGTGTTGTAGAAGTTGTAGTTGAACCACCATCTCGTAGGGTTAATTTTTCTTTGATAGCTCATCCTTTTAAAGATGAACTTATTATGTTTGGTGGAGAATTCCATGATGGTCAAAAAGTATTATTATATTATCTTTGTACAAGTTAATTATATTCGCACTAAAAATTCTATTAATGGAATATTTCCATTTTAATACAGACCACTGTATATGGTGACATGTTTACTTATAATTTAAATAAAAAAGAATGGACAGTGATAAAAGCACCAGGTGCTCCACCGCCTCGATGCGGTCATCAAGCAATAGTTACTTCTACAAATAAAGGGGAAATGTGGATCTTTGGTGGGGAATTTTCTAGTCCATCAGAATTACAATTTTATCATTACAAAGATTTATGGGTTTATAGAATGGGAGAGAAAAAATGGGAAAAAATAACGTATGTTGTGAATATGAAAAATGAAATATATTGAAACTTTCTTGATATAATTTATATCATATGAAACATTTGTTTAAGATCTCCTGGAGGTCCCTCAGCCAGAAGTGGTCACAGAATGATTCACATGAAAAAGAAATTAATAGTATTTGGAGGTTTTTATGATAATCTTAGAGATTGTAAATATTATAATGATATTTACATGTTTAATTTGGAAACATATACATGGCACAAAATTGAATGCGCTGGTAATTCAGCAAATTAATAGAATTCCCTTATTATGAAACAATATTTTATATAAAAACTATTTTTATATGAAATTGTTCAGGAAATCCGCCAGCACCACGTTCTGGTTGTATAATGTTACCTACGTCTGAAAAACTACTTGTTTATGGTGGCTATAGTAAAGAAAAAGTTAAAGCAGGAGTTGAAAAGGGACAGATTCATACAGACATGTTCTTGTTATCTCCAGATAGTAAGAATATTTATATACATATTTTATATATATATATTAAGCATTTTTCAATTTTATTCATTACAAAATATACGAATTTTCTTAGAAAATGATCAGACCGGTCTTAAATGGAAATGGATATTAACGAAACAGACGGGTCTCAAATGTTCTCCTCGCTGTGGTATGACTGGTATTTTAATACAACCACATATAGCATATGCATTTGGTGGAGTTTTTGATAATATAGATGATGAAGAAGAATTACAGGGAACATTCTATAATGATTTGTTATCATTAGACTTAGAAAAATTCCAATGGCATGAAGGTAAACATAAATGATCTATCATATCATAATATAGATGTAATCATTTCAAAATAATATACATCATTTTAAATATAGTTACATTGACTGGTAAAAGAGAACCACCAGGGCAACGTAAAAAAGAAAAGGCACAAAAGGAAAACCATGTAGACGAATGTAATTTACATGGAGATAACGAAAGTAATGATATTTGTGATAATTCAATAACAGATACAACTAATTGTAATAAACTCGTACAAACTCCCGTTACTTATATCGACGAAAATGAAATATTTACAGTGAGTCTTCCTGGTTATTTTTATTTCTTACATGTGCCTTAATTAATACAAAATATAATGTGATTTTACTTGTTCTATTACATCAGTTAACAGTTAGTTCAAGTGGTCCATGTAACACACAGACAAATAGTATGGAAAAAATTGAAAATATATTCTTTCCTTCACCAAGAATAAATCCTGGACTTGTCGTAAAAAATAATATTTTGTATTTGTATGGTGGTATGCTGGAAGTTGGCGATAAACAATATACTTTCAATGACTTTTATAGTTTAGGTATGAAAGATGTACATATTTTAAAAATATGATAAAATAACTCGATTAATATTAATAATATAAAATTATAGATTGTCGTAAAATGGATGAATGGAAAACAATAATACATGATGATTTATCTTCACAAGAATGGCATAACACAAGTAGTTCTGATTCAGAAGAAGAAGACGAAGACGAAGACGATGATGACACGAGTAATAATTCCTCTAGTAATGAGCAATAATTTATTTTATCATACAAACATTATTTATTAAATTATTATAATTAATTCACTTTACTGGTTTAATACATTTTTTGAAATATAAATAATTTAATTGTTTACGAATAGGTATATGGTTATTGTGGTATTTATGATTATCTTAAAACTCATCATCATTTTTACTTTTCTAATGATTTATACAATGAGTACAATTGTAATTCTTGAAGGATTTTGATGAATAAGATCATATTTTAAAGATAAAAGTTCAAACAAAGACACGGCTTTTCCGAACTTTTGAAAGTTTTATTTTCTCTGAAAAAAAAATCGTATCAAAAAATGGTATTTTTTCAGCAATGGTTATGCATAAAAATAAAGCTTCTAGTAAAAAAGAAGAAGCTACTATCTTTCCTACATTTTTTTTTAATATGAGATTTTCTGATCCATTTCAAACGCAAGGAAACGCGTTTCCACATTAAATGAACTTTGGACAAATGATTTTATGATAAAAATAAGCAAATATGTCATTCAGTCATTTATGCTAATGGCTCTTAAGAATGATATATAATTTTGGAATAATTTCATAATTATTTATAAATAATTATTTATTGAATTTATTATTAATAAAAATATATTTTATTAATAAAAAATCTCACAGTATTCTACTAATAACAGTAGATATAGAAATATTATATATCGTAATATATAAAATTTTATAACATCATATCATATGTTATTATTCAAATTAAATATATGATCTTATTAGAATCCCAAATATTATATATTAATTAAATTTAATAAAAAAGTAACATAGACAATGTATAAAATTTAACTCAACAAATAATATTCTTCACTGAAAAAATAATATATAAATTAGTGTATATCAGTAGTATACTGGTATAATATGGACAATAACAAATTTCTTTTTCTTTCACAGAAAGGTTAGTATATCATAAAACAAGATTATATTTTTTTGTATATAATGAAAATTATATATTTTTGTATATTATCAGAATTAATTATAAAAAATATAATTTATAATTTTAATGATTATTCATTTCATTTGAAATTAATAGTAATTTATATATATATATATATATAATATTTATATAAATATATATAAATATATATATATAATTTATATATATATATAAATTCATATTTATTCACAAATTCATTAATAACAATTACATATTATTAAGTGAATATTTATCAAAATATAACAACTAATTAATAATTCAATTAATGCTTTATATAGTACGAACTATAGAAATGCAACCCATTAGAAGCTAACCCATTACTTCGAACTTATTATGTGATCTATAAATGTGTCCTCCAATGTGTATTAATAAAAAAAAATATACCTTTCCATATAACCAAGGAATTATTGTAAAATATATCAATTTTTTCATCAGAAATATAATTATAGCCGAGAGCGAAGTAATTCGATTTTCTTGCTTGCATGATTTTGTAAATTAATTAGTTTCATTGCAAGACTCATATTACCCTGAATTTTTACTTTACCTTGAAAGAATGCTTTCTGGGGATTTAATTTCCCTGAGATAAAATCAATTACATCATTATCATCGAGAGTAAATATAATATCAGGTTTGGTTTTACCATTAAATTCCACTGATCCCTTGCCTGTTTTAGCATTTATTACCCAATATCCTTCTGCACCTCCAGGTCCATTTATAATTTTAACTCCATAAATTCCACGAGCTTTTTCTATCAACCCCTCTTTATCTTCTTTCATTGCAACTTCGAATAATTTAAAAAATGGACTAGCTTTGAAAATATTTGGATCAACACTGCCAGTTTTGTTCTGAGTAACACCACCGGAAGATGCTGAAGGTTGGGTAATGGCTTTTGTTGCGGGAATAGTCGAATTTTTAGGAAAACCTAATTTATATAAAGCAACTATGACAGCACCACCTAAACCTATGTTATGTTGTAATGCTAATTTTGCTCCTGGCACTTGTCGTTTTCCAGCTTGTCCTCGGAGTTGCCAACAAAGTTCTGCACATTGTGCTATACCTGTAGCACCTAAAGGATGTCCTTTTGAGATTAAACCACCGCTAGGATTTATGACATACTTTCCACCATATGTATTATTTCCCGAATCCACAAGTTGTCCACCATGACCTGGAGGACAAAGTCCTAAAGCTTCATAAGTGATCAGTTCATTGGTTGAAAAGCAATCATGCAACTCTATTACATCTACATCTATTGGTCTATACTTAGTTAATGTGAAAACTTTTTCCGCAGCATTTTTTGTCATATCATATCTGTAGAAAAATATTAAATAGAAATATATGATTGATTTTTCTTATATTAGATATAAAACTAATAGAAAAATAGTTATATCTTTTACCCAATAAGTTTAATGCAACTGCGCTCTGAGAATGTAGATGGCAAATCTGTAGACATTTCCATTCCTACAATTTCTACTGCTTGTGATTCCAAGCCATGTTTATGAACAAAATCTTCATTGGCTAAAATAGCAGCTGCTGCACCATCAGAAGTTGGACAACATTGAAGTTTTGTAAGAGGTCCAAATACATTTGGGGACTTCATTATTTGTTCTAAAGTATACTTTTCTTGAAACTGAGAATATGGATTGTTTACAGAATGTAAATGATTTTTATAAGCAATTTTTGCAAAATGTTCAGGTTTTGTTCCATATTTCTTCATGTGTTCAATACCAGCATTACCAAACATTTGTGCAGTAATTGGTCGTTCATTTATTCCTGTTTATAATTATTCCAAATTATATATCATAAATTCATATATAAATGTACATGATATAAATATAATATCACATAAACTAACCAGAAATATCAGCCATTAGTTCTACATGTTTGTCCATTGGATTTGTACGATCTAAAAATTTGCTTGTCAATGAACCTCGGTCCATTTTTTCAAAACCGAGAGCTAAAGCACAATTGGCATTTCCACTTTCAATTATTTGTTTAGCCAGAATTAATGCAGTTGATCCAGTTGAACAATTGTTATTTACATTATAAACAGGACAACCGCTCAATCCTACTTCATATATAACTCTTTGACCACAAGTTGAATCTCCATAAACATATCCAACGCAAGCGGCTTTTATATCGCTATATGGAACATTTGCATCTTTCAAAGCATTATTTAACGCTTCTTTTCCCAATTCTGGATAATCCAGTCCATCTTGCTTTCCAGGTTTTTCAAATTTGGTCATCCCAACACCAATTACATATACTTTTTCTTTTAAACTCATCTTTATTAATTTGACAGATTCTACTGAGGATTAATCAAATTACAATATTTATTTATCCTTTCTTTTTATATATATATATATATATATATATATATATATATATATATATATATACATATTGGGTTGGCAACTAAGTGATTGCCGGATTTCAAATAAGAAGGAATCGACAAAATCCGCAATCACTTAGTTGCCAACCCAATATATATATGCATATACTATTAATTCATATCAAAGCGCTTATTATTGTGAATCAAATATAAGAACAAATAATAGAAACATACCTATATTAGAGAATAGAGATGATATAGAATAAAGATGATACAGAATAAAGATTGAATAACAGGTAATAGAAAAGAAGTTGACCTTTAATCAGATGTAAAATTTCTAACTATATTTTTAATGCCTCACAGATGACGAAGCAGATTCGACATTATTACTATTAAATATTTTTAATCTAAAAATTCTATCACGTAGTGTATACAACCAAAATGTTTTTGTCAAATAAATGACGATTGGTTTAAAAGGAAATATAATAACGAATCATTGATCAGTTATAAAAGAATGTTACTATATAAACAATCAATTGATATTACCAACATGTAAACCGATTGAAACATTAAAATCTTTATATTAAAAAAATAAAAGAACAATAAAAAAAAATTGATATGGAAGATTAAATAATTTCAATAAAATAAAATCCTAATTTATAAAATCCTATAATCCAACAAAATATATCTATTGTTAATTTCCTTATCAACGTCATATTTACAAAAAGCGCCACGATTTGAATCGGACATAACGCGTTGTTAAACAATTCTATGATTAAAGTTCGTTTTATCGATTAACATATAAAAAAAAATTCTTATATAGATCTTAGCGCAAAAAGTACATAAAAAACAACTAAATCATAGGACACAATATTTATAAATTTGTCCCATTTTATTAATGTTTTACGCGCATTTTTGTGTAACGTCATAACTTTAACCTTAACCTTAATATCATATGTATGTACATTTTTAGGAAGTTAATGTTTCAAACTTCGGTAATTTTTAATCTTTGTGTGTAGGTTTATTATTAAAAAAAGAAAAAGGAAAAGAAAAAAAAACGCTTCCAGCGAAATATTCAATATCCAGGAGTAATTGTACCGATCGTTGACGTATGTTGGCAAAGCCTGCTACGCATGTCTTGGAAAGATCCTTTCGTAGAGGTAGGGAGAAGGTATTGAAAGATAGATAGATAGATAGATAGAGATAGAGAGAGGGAGAGAAAGAGTGAGAGAGAAGAAAGAGTGGTGGTAGCGATGATGGCGGGTGGTAAGAGGATCAGATTCGTTCGGAGACGTAAGAGGGACGTAAAAGCATAGGGGGTGCGGACCAGTCAGTGCGCGGCGGGGTGCGCTTCTCGATGCAGGTCATGATTTTGCTCCAGGTGAACGTGCAACGAAATATCCAGAATCCATTCGACAACATCAACGAGACTCGTGAATATACTTAAGAACGTTGTGTTCGCAGTGCATGGGTGTTAATATATTATATTTTTATTTTCGCTTTAAGTTTATTATTTTTTACAATATATATATATATACACGTATATATATACATATATGTATATATATATATATATATATATATATATATATATACGTGTATATATATATATATACACACATGCATGAAAGAATCGCACGTTACCCTGTCCCTTTAATATATTTAATACTTACTATATATGGGAAAAAAATAATAGACGAAGGGATTAGGAGCCAAGGGGTGAGGAAGTAAAGAAATCGTTCGGCATGTACATACGTATGTACACGAGAAATATAAGGAAAAAAATTACAAAAAAAAGAGCAAATAAAGGAAGAGAATTTTTTTAATTAAGTCAGCATTTTTATTAACGCAATATGCTTTTGTATTGAGGAATGAAAAAATTTACTTTGGCATTAGTGTTACTTTTTCACAGATTCGCGTATTTTTGCAATATCTTTGCTGACGATCTACCCTGAACACACCTGTACAACCGAAGCCAAGTAAATTCTTACAGTGGAAGAGAAGAGAATTAAATATGATGTTGCTTCACGACTATGTTTTCTGGCGAAAAACAAAATTTTTCTGTCAGCAAGAAAAACCGGTTAATGGTGGCCCAACCATCGATTGCCCCGTTATACTGTACCCGTACGTAGCAGCATGGCTCCACAATACAGGTAGCGACAATTTACATTTTTTAAGAAAATTTTGTGTTTTTTCTTCGATATATATATATATATATATATATATATATATATGCGTATCTCAAATTAATAATCTGTAGTAACAACGGATAGTTATCATTCTATTTTATAGGGACTTAATATACGTATATATATTTTGCGCAATAATAACTTATGTTATTGATACAAAAGACCTGTTATGTTTTTAAAGCGTCTATCTTAATTCGTAGAAGAACCTTAAAGGATATCTAATTTTTGTTACAAAGTATGCGTAGAACAGAAACTCTATACATAAATATATACATATATAAGTTACACGCTTCAAACTCTGCAACAGTTGAGAGTAAGCTTGTTGCGTCAGCCTGTTGATTATATGTACTTGAGTTCGCATTAATATTTTCACGAATTTGATGCTTCTTTTTACACACATTTCTCGTGGCATTAGTGCTGAAATAATCAGAACGTTTCGAAGTGGCAAATTGAAGATTTATATCGTTAATTAGATATTACGATGTTATATAACGTAAATAAGCGTCAAAATGTTATTTAGTTTTAGCTAGAACAGCCGTAATAGGATCAAGTCATTCAAGAATATAAAAAATTCCGATAGATTCTTGAATGTTTTAATTGTAACAAATTCATTAATAATATATATTGTGTTTTGCTTTTATTTTGGAGGGATCTCAATTTTTGCCGATTGTAATTTTATCTTCCTTTGCCTGCAAGGAGTACGCTTCGAGCTGTTTAAAATCAATAGCAAGGTTAAAGGCCTCTGCACACCGAAAGTAGTATAACTGATCTGTTCTTTCAATCCCTTATCGTTGTCGCATATAATATTTATATAAAATATTAGGAATATTAAACGTATCGTATATACGACTGTTTTCCTTATTATCTCGAATTTATTCCATTTCATACGTATGATCATGTTTATTCTATCGCATTCGTTGTGTATGAACCTTTCACTTTAAGAGGCTCACACATACTGCAATTTTTTCCGTTTGGCGGAAATAGATATAACGTTTTGTTACGTTCATTTCCTTATTATAAATCATTATTTTCGATAGATTAAACCGATTCAGCACGCTAGAAACATGGAGTAGCATTTTCTCTCAATGGAGTGACCGGTTATAATTAGAGTAGAATTTTAGTAGGTCACTTCGATTAAGTGGATGTTCGAATAATACAATGTATTTATTATTTAACGCAAAAAAAAAATATTAGAAAATTGACTCGATTAATTGGATTATCTTATTGGGGATTAATAGTTATCTTCCTCAATAATATCATTTTCATGATGAATGAATACATTTAAATAGCTTACTTACATTGATTTGTGCCAATTCGAGTAAAAGATTTAATCTATTGGATACATTATGAAATTTCAGAGACAGATCTCACTAATCAATTCACCGATAATTTTTTTTTTTATTTTTATCATCGATCATTGAATCGAGTTAAGTTTCGAATTTCGTTTACAACTTAACGACAAGGCTTCAGGCCTTAAGTGATCAGTTGCTCCCTCCATACTCGTATCCCACTTACCCTCGAGTGGAACAACAGAGGACGTATTGAGTTCGAGTATGAAAGGGAACATCAAGAAAAGAGGGGGTAACGAGCTGGAGACCAACTCGAGCCCGCTGACCACTTGTCCAAGATAGCTGCCGATCGATCAGGCTATCTCATTATTGTGAAATCTCCTTACCGTTGATGTGTACATACATTTATACATATACAAACCAGTTGTTTTTAATTGAACGTTAATTGATTTCCGCTTTTTGATATTTTAGAATAATACTCCAAAAAATCGAACAGAACGATGTTTAATATCTATTGTATTACATATCTGAGCTTAAAGAGATTCTTCTTAGAGTTTTTCTAAGAAACTTCTTAGAGTTTTTCTTAGAGTTGTCATGTCTTATATATTTTTCCTTGTAATAATATAAAAATATATAATTTCAAATATGGTGGATTTAATGATCGTGATTTTATGAGATAAATGGCTACAGCATGAGGTCCCGTATGCGGTTACCATTTGTCCATTGTTCATTGAATTTTCCATCTTTCAAATTATACTTTTTTATGTTTAAATTATAATTACATTTAATAATTATTACTTTTTAATCTTAACGCGATTATATACGACAATTTTCATTTATATCAATTATTAGAACGAAAATGATTACATCGATCTGATCGAGTTTGCTAATAATTTCCGATTGAATGATTGAATTTATGAAGTATACGACATCTTTAACTGATAGGGAGTGATATCGAGAATGAAAATATTTTAGAAAAAATCGTTGGAAGATAAACAAGTGTACGGATTATTTTTATTGAAAAAAAAAAAAATAAATAAATAATTGCAGGTTATCAACCTTCAGCATTCATCGTATTCTCATGGAAAATGTCATGATAACACGTGAGTTCAGTGCTTGCAGAACGAGGATTACCATCTTCGATTTGTATTATCTACCGATGATGTATTTCCGAAGACGGATTCATCCAGGATTTTCTCTATTTGATCTTGTGGATGAACGAATCTGGTTAATTCGTTCATTTAATACAAACGAAAACTACTGGGCCGTACATTCGCGTCAACTAATGTTTGTTGGAGTGTCAACGTATGAACCTGAATTTTGAGGAATTCGGTAATCGTTCCATATATGTTAAAGCAATTTGTGCGTTGTTACTGGAATTTGGTACTTTTTTTGAAATGTATCATAAAAATTTCATCAAGATTTTGTCGATATCGTTAATCTCGTACCATTCTTCCCCTATGCTTCCATTATTTAATACCAATTGCTTTAAGATGATACGAAAGTTACTGATTTCTGTATTTCCTAATTAAGATATTTATTTTTCAACATATATTACAATGATTTATATTCACGCAAATTATTTTTCATTTAGAATCATTTCCATATCCCGAAGTTTCTGAAACGAGAGACTCTCGGCGATATTTATTTGCAAGATAATAAATTGCCTTTCGAAACTTCTCACGTAATTTTAATTCGTTTCTTCTTGATATTACAAACTTTATTTTTCTTGTCATTATCTTATGTTGCTGTTTTAGATGCAAAGGTATTTATGCTTTAAAGATTATAAAATGTTATCACAATAAAAAAAGAAAAATAAGATCTTTTTACTGCTGACAGACATCAACAAAACAAAATATCATTCCCCATTGTTATGAAATAATAACTATAGAAATTATACGAGTTACTTTCGTTGCTGGTGTCAAACGGAATGGCCGCCACTGTGAATTTTCAATCGATATCGTTGAGTTAAACGAATCCTAAATATACATACATATTAGAGCTTTCGCATAGAACAACTAAAAGACAATCATTTCGATTAGAAGTTTATTATACATTTGTCTCGTCATACCTAGATCAAATTTGATTATATATCAAATTGATTATATATCTAATATCATTTTAATTTTATTAATATTTACTTTTTTCGTCTTTTTACAGAACAATTTGACGATCGGTGATGAAGATCTACCTGAAGAGGCTTTCACGTTGCTGTCGGTGCTTCTAGTTGGTTCGCCAAATTTCATATTTGACTAAAATTAATTTTATATAAATGAGATATATCGTATATACGTTGCGCAATAATTTATCAATCAACAAAATTCCCTTCCGCATTCATCATTTTCAATCCTACCTATCGTTTTCTCATATTTACTCATATATACCTGTACCTTGGAAAACGTTTTCAATCCAGACTAATCCTTTTCCGATAAATAATCCAGTTTTGCCCTACTTTTAAGTCTTATCATAGCTGTCAGAACGAAGGAAGGATTATTTTTTTTTACGACAATATGTGGTACATATACACACTTACACAAAACAAATTCTGATTCTACAATTCTATATTATGATTAGACGAACCACCTCGTTATGACATTTTATGTATATATGATGTTCTATTTGAATCTCTCTATTGCGCATCGTAAGTAAGAGCAAGAAAGATAGGTATATTCAGATCTATTATTAAACAGGCTAAAAGAAGATGTTTATATAAAACACGAACACTTTTTACAGTAGATCGTTATTTAGAAATTCATCGAATTTCTATTAATTTTACAGATATTTATCTAATAGTTACTAACGAAGAAACAGCATACGGTTGAATATTATTAAACGAAAATATATAAAAAATCCGAGAAATATTCATTCATCGATTTTTTATTTGAATTTTTCAGGATTCCTGCTCCTGATACTTGTATTTTTATCAGTCGCTGGCAATGTCCTAGTTTGTGTAGCAATTTACACTGACCGGGGGTTGCGAAGAATAGGAAACCTATTTCTAGCATCCCTCGCGATTGCTGACCTCTTCGTCGGTTGCTTGGTGATGACATTTGCCGGCGTAAATGACCTCCTTGGATACTGGGTCTTCGGCACGCAATTCTGCGATACTTGGATAGCTTTCGACGTTATGTGTAGCACTGCCTCTATATTGAATTTATGCGCCATATCTCTTGATCGTTACATCCACATAAAGGATCCGCTTAGGTAAATTGAACTCGACTTTATGAAGATAATATTTTTTTTTCTTTTTCTTTTTTCACTTCAAATGTAAATTCTAATACATTGTATATATGTTAATATCGTCGTTGTCAGATACGGTCGCTGGGTAACAAGAAGAATTGCAACTGCCGGGATCGCTGTTGTGTGGCTATTGGCAGGTCTCATTTCTTTCGTGCCGATCAGCCTGGGTCTTCATAGAGCAGATCAGTTCCTGGTTTATGATGATGGGAAAGAGGTAACGATAGTGCAAGACTTCACATGCGACCAAAATAAATTTTGACTATTGGGACATCGATTATCTCTGAAAATATACAATACTCATGACAGAAGGATACGGGTTAAGCATCTGGAACGGATATGTAAGGATCTCTATAGAGATCGCGTGGTAGAACAATAGGAGTAGGCATACTTACAAATCATTGATCAACACTACAAGAATCTCATTCAGCCTTCTTTCGAATTCGGGCATCCGAGTAAGTGATAATCATAATGTCAGTACTCTCTCTCTCTCTCTCTCTCTCTCTGTTAATTATGAAGCGCAGCCTCAGTTATCGCATTGAATTTAGTTATGTGCAACGCAAATAATATGCAATATTGTATATTCACGCCTATAAGAGCGCGCATGCGCAAAAATATGTTTCCGAGCGCCGCAGATCGAGTGATTCTCTCAGCTATATATATATAAATATATATATATACTAACTAATGCGCATATTTAATAACCACACGAGAGTGGTATACGTACATAATGAGAGAAACCAAAAACGAATTGACTATAAAATGAATAGAAAAAGAATAAATAATAATGTCAATTATGGTTATACACTTTATGAAAAATATATGTAAATCCAGCTGGCATAGCTTTACGTAAGAAATGGCCTTAAGGCATGCCCTTTGCCTTGGTATACGCTTTGAACGCACAAAAAATGCTTTATAATATGCTGTACAATAATCAAATGTGTCCGATTACATTGAAACTAACGAACATTTATCTGATATTTTCTGTCGTGATAACAGCGATCATTGAATTATCCTGATTAATTGATACACCCGTTATAAAAAGAGTTGCTTACAATATTTTTCATTCTTTTTCACAGGAACATCCAACTTGCGCCCTGGACCTTACTCCTACCTACGCAGTGGTATCATCTTGTATCTCTTTTTACGTTCCTTGCATGGTAATGCTTGGAATCTATTGCAGGTGAGCATCGATAAATGATTAAACGTATGCATATATTTTCAGCGCTAAGAAAGCGTAATAAAAGTCTTTATAGTCAAAGTAGCAAAGTAGAACGTCCAGCTAACTGGTTCAATAGCGATGATACTGTATATTGTTAAACTACTACTCTCTTATGTAATATCAATAATTACTAATTCTCTTTTTCGTTATTAGACTTTATTGCTACGCGCAGAAACATGTGAAAAGTATTCGCGCCGTCACGAAGATACCGGAAGTACCTGTAGGAAAGAGCTTTCGTACAAAGAGTCGTTACAAGCCACCAAAACCGCAAATGAAGTCAAAGCCGACTAGTCCGTATCATGTGTCCGATCATAAGGCAGCAATCACCGTAGGCGTCATCATGGGCGTCTTTCTTATATGCTGGGTTCCATTCTTCTGCGTTAACATTGTTGCAGCCTATTGTAAAACCTGCATATCAGTGCAAGCATTCCAAGTATGACCGTATTTTCAGATATTAATGATAAATTAAAAAAAAAAATAAAAAAATAAAAAATACACGTCAAATCGTAAATAAGAAATCATTTCGAACGATTTTGATCTGGAAACAAATATTTGAATTTTATTCGAAGATTGCATGACATTTTTTGTATGTATGTATATATGTGTTTTTTCTTTCTTTCTTTTTTTCTTTTTTGCACTTCGCATGATTTTAAATAGAAATTTTACGTCAGGTACTCACATGGCTTGGCTATAGCAACTCGGCCTTCAACCCGATTATCTACAGTATCTTCAATACAGAATTCAGAGAAGCATTTAAAAGGATCCTAACGAAGGGTGTGCGCTCCCGAGGAAATCAGCCTTCTACTAGTGAATGTGGTGAATTTCGATCTATAGTGATACAGAAACATAATGGCTCTATGATCGAGTGTAACATCAGTCCGAGATCGAGCGCGGACAGTTCTCACGTTGGGGTTATAGCTCAGGTACATCGAGATACTATAGCCAGTGCAATATAAAAGAAAAATATTGCTTGCAAAAAGACTCTTTGCAAAAGTTTTATGTTCCTATGGCCTCGTAAATACATGTATATCTATAATGAGTATTCAGTTATTTTCCAAAGGACCATCGGTGTTGAGAGAAGCGTTTGTCATTAAGATCATTCGTGCAACGTGACGATCATCGGAATTGTCTCATTGCTCTTTACGATTACTGTAATTCTGGTGCTTTTTTTTTTTTTTAACTAACTCCGTCTACGTCGGGCCTTGGAAAAAAAAAATATATAAAAAAGAAAAGTAATAAAAGAATTGATATATGTATGTAAATGCAATTTTTCTTGGTCGGAGTATGGATCTATACGGATGAAGAAATTTTGTCAAAAAGGATCTCATATCAAGTATTAGTTGCTAATCATAGTTACTGTACGTACTGTATGCTTATTCTTGGGACTGTAATTATAGCGCTAGTGCTTAACTAATCCGAAAATGTATAATTAGATTAGTAGATAGAAGTTGTATGAGTGAGATAAGGAGATATAAAGTTTAAATTATATTAGATTCTTAGAGAGATTTAAATAAATTCAGTGCGTAGAGACACCGGACTATGTACAAACCGAAAGTAATTAAAATAAATAGTTAGTATGTTTTGTTCTTCCAAAAAAGATCTTGTACCTTGTGCTTTTTGCCCATATTATAAATTTATTAAAATAGATTTATTAGATTCCATTTTTAAATGGTTATTAAAATCATCACAAGAATTCTTTCGTATGCGAAATTATCGTCTACGTTTGTTCGCTTTAATTTTTTTCTTGCATGATTGTAGACTAAGGTTGGTCGAGCAGAATGCCCGCCTTTTGACCGCTACCTTGATGCCCTTCAATGAATCTCAATGATTATAGATACGATATCTTGCCCCATTTCCTACACGTATAAAATTGCACAAAACATTCAGTTATTCGCAGTGCGTAATACGGTGTGATTGTGAAAAGACAAGTCTACGTAAATTTTCATTTTATCCTTTTGAGGTAAGATCTAACAGTGATTGGGGGAACTCTAGATCGTTGATTTCCTTTAAATTTTTCCGATCATAAAAATTTTCAACTTTACACGCATTGTTACAAATTCATTCATTCAAACAAATGAATAAATGAAAAAACGTTTTTATTTTTTTATTTATCAATCGTACTACATATGTATATATGTATTGTATATTCATAATATTTTAATACAGACATAATACAGATTATTTTTGTCATTCGTTCGAAATCGTTACTCTTATCAAAAGTTTATACTTTTTATGATATTACAAATGTATCGAAAAGGGTAAAATTGTCTAGACAATATGATCATCAATACTGAAAAAATCAAATTGACAAAAACGTACTTGCTTCTTGTTTATTTATTTATTATATATTTTATTTATACATTACATTAAGTAAATGAACTTGATAAATGCAGATGCATCCACGTCCGTTGATAGTAATTTTACTTCTATTCGTCGTGACGGAAAGAAGCAATTGTGACGATAAAGCAGAGTGGTATTTCGGTTTACGTTCTGCCTTGAAAAATTGTCCTTCGATGCCATGGAATAATCTCAGTCAGGATGATTTTTTTGATGTCTTTCGTCAATGTATACAACAACGGGCTCTCAACTTTTTGGATTCCCTTCTTGTCGACGATATCATACCGGTTATCGATGGAATCGATTTAATTAGATTTCAAGATAATTCCACGTCTTTACCAGATGAAATGGCTAAGTACGTCCTTGATTATCGAAACTGAACCATGAAACATTGAATATTGAATTGTAAATAATATTTCAACGAATACACAAATGTTATTATCTTTCGTCAAATTCATATTCTCTCTTTCAGAAAGGAAAATATGTACAATGAGACAGAAGACACTTCAAATTGGACAGGAATAGTTCTAAATCGATTGACAGGCATTCTACGCACGCACGTTTTAAAGATCGATGTTGATCACATAGTTAACACTATATCTTCGCCCATGAATGAAACTGAAATAGATAGATCTGATAGTAATAATACCGTTCAAGGTAATAAATGATATTATCTTTTAGAAAAATTTTAAAAAAGCTTCTTAATTGGATTATCTTTCACATTGGATTATCTATTTGCTGATATATTTCTTTTTTTCTTCTTTTATTTTATTATCAGGACGAAGGCGCCGCCATCGACGACGTCATAATGTAATGCCTCTGATGATGATGGGTCTATTGTTGATGGGTTCAATACTTGTACCAATGGGTTTTCAGTTCCTTGCCGTTCTTGGCGGTAAAGCTTTAATTCTTGCTAAGATGGCTTTGTTATTGTCAAGTATACAAGGACTCAAGAAGATAGCAACCAACGGTGTGAATTATGGCTTATATCATGCACCTGTATCTGAAGCTTGGCATGAAAGAAGTCATCAAGAAACGCCAACACATTTTGATTTACCCTATCCGATACACGCTCAGACACACGCTTGAAATTCGTATTTACGATCAACGATACGTGTCGATCAACTTTAATGAATTTTTTCATCGTAACATATACTCGGTCGTATTTTTCATATATATATATATGAAATATATATATATATATATATATATATATATATATATAAATATATATATATATATATATATATATATATATATATATCAGTTAATACGTTTTGATAGGTACGTATCTATATACGTGCAACAAGTAGACAATTTCTAAGTTGTTAACGTTTCTTGTTATTTTATTTATGTTGAACATCTCTTATGTCGATATTGATTCTTTCTTAGCAATCAATAATACTTCTTATTATTGTTACTTTTATTTTCACAGTAGTCTCTTTTATCTTATATTGTTCCAATAAGAAAACATATGTATGTACTTTGTCAGTCATTAGATAAGATACATATAAAGTTATCTTCCGTTGTATTCTATATCTTTTAATATTATTGGTTCTTAAAGGAAGTTAATGTTGTTATTGGTAGAGAATATGTTAGATAATAATATAGAAGATTTTCTACGTTAAGATACAGTATCAAAGCATTCATTGAAATTAATTATATGCCGCGTCGATGCTGCATCCAAATTAAATTTCATCGATTAAATGTATTTAATTTCATCTATTAATATCAATTAATTGTTTAGCAATAGATTTGTTTTTTTGTGAATTTTATCTCGAATTGTTTGATTCCTACAAAGAATATCGTCTTCTAATTTCTTCTTGAGTTCTCTACTTCTCCTGGCAAAGTTGGTAAGTAATGATTCATAGTAATTCGTTATTATTATTATCTTACGTCGTCTTAATCTTGAGAATGTGATCAGAAAATAAAAGACTCCAAATATTGGAAAATTTTAATGACAGCATATATTACTAAGTTACATCAGCTATTGAAAATCATTTAACAATACAAAACCTTACATAAACTCAATATTCATATTTGCAATAGTGTTTACGCAATAATATTACGTCTTCGTAAACATACGCATTTCGTGATTACGTGCACCTTGTAAAACTGATTGCATTACACATGCGTACAGTTTCCATTATACGTTTCATATACATACGCAAAAATTATCATGTCCTTTCCATGTATATGTATATATATATATATATATATATACATATATATATACATATATATACATATATATACACACATATATATATACACATACACATAATTTGTTTGCACATTCGATGTAAAACATTGATAGTGAAATTACTAATATATCCGAATATAACATATATTTATTAACACTAGAGCGAAATTCTTAACCTGGCAACATGTATTTAATACGTATATGCACAGTAGGAAGCTTGCGCATGAAATATTGGTCAGTTTCTTTCATATCTCTCTTACAATGTTGCATAATTGCAACATCGAGAGAAGCATTCTACAAAAGGAGCCTCTCATCAAATTTCGAATACGAGACTAGTGAAGAAGATTTTGCGATCATCTCTGTTATTATCTATCATTCCTAAAAAGTACAATGCTCGGAAATTATGAAAAAATAATAATTTTAAATATTTTACGTCTCGAAAAAATTTTATTTTTTCTCGAACAACTATAGAGATTTGAATAACTTCATCTTTATTAAATAGCTGGTATGAAAGTTAATTATATATTATAATTGATATCAATCAGACTGTATTATCACGTGTATAACAATGCTTAAGGCAATGATCAAAATTAAATTGATCCTAGATGAATTATTAAGGAAAAACAAAAATGATCGCAACGAAAATGCACTTTGCATAAGCCGATCAATCCGTTGGACGCACACGGTCCATTATTCTAAAATATCTATTTAGTGTGTAATTTATAACAAAATGTGAGATTTCGCAGATATAATTCGCTTTTTTCTATGGACCCTATATTCTCGGGTCTTTCTCTTTTCTTTTCTTTTCTTTGTTCTCTTTTTGCATTTGCTTTTATTTGTTTGTTTGTTTGTGTTTTTTTTAATTTTCTTTTTTCTTTTACGACGCATACAATCCATTAAAGTACATTTGCGAAAGACATGTGTTAGAACCACGATTTCTTATTCCTAAGTGCAAGTACGGCGCAAGAAAATGTACAATTATTATATAATATACATATTCAAGGCTTGATGAAACTGGTACGAATTTTCAAGCGCACCTTGCCGGAGAAAAAAAAAATTCCATTTTGCACTAAGTTATTAATTATAAGGAACATAGAGTACACAAGTCTAACAATAAGAATCCAAATAGTATTTATTATATTCAGTGAATATGTATAATCATCACATTACACACGACAATCGTTTTCAACGTATACGTTGGTATATTTGCCTATCGTGAATGTGCGTTATTTTATCACTGAATTATATATAGGTACAATAGATTCTCGATCACCCGTGTCGTTCGGCGATACTTTAATCATTTTAATACGATTTGAATATATAAAAAGAAAAATTATTTTCTTGCAATTTACATATCTTAATTCTTTCATATTCCAACACGACATTGTTTTTTTTATTCCATCCACAGCTCAAGATTTAGAATCTAGAATTAACATTTGGATTCGGATAATCGATGGTCTATCGTATATATTGTTGCCATTTTTAATTCGGTCCTGCTTAGCCTTCCTATTTTTAACTATATCGTCAATTAATATTTCTTTTATTTTTTGTTTTTTTCTTTTTTATTATTTTTTTATTTTTTTTATTTTTTTTTTCTTCCGCCCACTCCCTCTCCCCTGCCCCCTCCCGCTCCAGCAATAAGTTTAAGTAAGAGAGATACTGCACGTTAGGACCTTCCTTTCATTTTTCTGGAGATATATTTATCTTAATCTTTTTCCTTTCTCTTTCTCTCTTTTGCACAATTCGAATCTTGACGAAGGATATAAATAGCTGTTATCATTCAATGTTACGTATATAAGACGAATTTATTTCTCACTTTAACTAATCGCGTTTCTACAAATTAATGTTCCGTCGTTTCTACGATATCTCCGTTCTAAGCTCAAAAATCGCGAGAAAATGTTGACTTCATGAAATCAAACATAATCTTTGAATGAAAATACTTATTTGTTATCTAATCGATGACTTTCTTTTTCCTATTTTTTTTTAATCTTTTTAAACGCATTTGCTTTTCATTTTTTTTTACGATATATTAATAATTAATACGAGTAATTAATTCAGCCTATATATAGAATCTGGAATGACCTGTACTTTGAGTGTTAGCAATACCAGTACATTATGCGGCATTCCTTTTATTATTGCGAGTTGTTATTTTTTTTTCTTTTTCTTTTTTTTTTTTTTTTTTTTTTTTTTTTATTAAACTTCTACTCTTCCAAGAACGATACACTTGCGGCTGGCATAAAACTTTCGTAAATTTCATATATAGGATTAGTAAGAATCTCATGTATTTCTTTCTTTCTCTTTCTCTATTTCTCTCTCTCTCTCTCTCTCTCTCTCTCTCTCTCTCTCTCTCTCTCTCTCTCTCTCTCTCTCTCTCTCCCTCTCTCTCCTTTTCTTTCTCTCTTTTTGTCTATTCTTCTTTTATTCCGAATGATGAAAGACTATGTTCTCTAGCGAATATTAGAGAACGAGCGCTTTTAAATATTTTATTCATCTGTGTTTATATTCATCAGCGCGTAATAAGTACATATTTATGTACGTATCTAGCTATCCAATAATTTACAATATCACATGCACTTTTTTTTTTTTGTTTTAAATAGGATTGTCAAACACATACCTATACAGATATGTACCATCTATTCTTAACGATGCAGCGTATCATACGAGGTGATAAGGTAAATATACCTGCGCACATTTTCTTTATAAATATAAGCTGCCGTATTCTTCGGAAAAAGAAAAGAAAATTTCCGATTAACGTGAGATATAGCAAATTTTCATCATTAAATAATCTAGCGACTATTTTTTCTTATTTTTTTTTTCTTACTTTTTCTTTTGTCTTTTTTTTCTTTCTTTTTCTTTTTTTTTTTTTTGTACGTACGCATCATACGTTTACTCTCTTCATGACGATTCGACGACAATTTCGTGTTTTACGAAGGTCTACAATTATTATTTATACATTTTCTTTTAACACGTTAAAACATTTCAGAATACGTTTAATTAGTTCGGTTTTTACATACAGTATCTCCCACGAAAAGCAGTAAATTCGTTTATCGTCTAAGGCCGAAGCTATCCGGAAAAAACGTTCATCCCATTTCTATATTCACGAAATGGTTTATCTCCTGTTCGTTTATTCTATCGATTGATTTTCACTTTAACACGTTCGCCATTATTCCATTGAAAAATTCGTACAAACCATGTTATTGTACTTTCTATCAATCATATTTTATTCGACTTAATATAGAAATATTTTTGGAAATAACTTACGTACAAACATAATAAATATATTCAAGAAGCCTACTAAACATTATAAACATCTCAAATATATTAGGATACGATTATAAACTGTTATATTTATTTAATTTTCATCGTAAATATTTTTTATTTATTGTGAAATGTGAGCTCTGGTCCTTTAACGAGAATGCGATGAATTAAAACGAACGTGTTAAGTAAAAAAAAAAAAAAAAGTAGAAAATATGTATATGCATATGTAGATACATGTAATGTCAAATATGAGTATTATAAAAAGATGAGCTTCGTGTGTAGATTATTTAGAAATGTTTTAAACAACGAATAAGCTTTCGATGATATATAAAAGTGTAAGAAATTTTAAAATACTTATATGATTCAAATAAGAAACATCCATTCGAATGACGTCATTCGATAATAAATTCAAAATATTCATTTCATGAAAAAATACGATAAAATATAATCTAATATGAATTATGCAGATAGCTTTTTTTCAGCCTTAGAACGAATGTCCATAATAAAAATTTTCTATCGCTTATACGCTAAATTTTTACATATAATTTTTCTTCTTCTTTTAGTTTTTCTTTTTTTTTTCTATTTTTTTTTTTTTTTTGGTTTTTTACTACCATAGCTTAAAACATATTATCTTCCAGTCATAAGAGCATCACAAATAAGATACAACACGCACATGAAAATCGAGAACTTACTTAAATTTATTATCGGTGTCAGAGAAATAATATACGCGTTTAATGTCGTTCATAAGATAGTTAACATCGTTATACTAGGAAATATCTAAAGGTTTAGGCTCATACTTTAACATACTTCATTCGTTTATCCGATCGATCGAAGGCGCGAATAACGAATATAATGAGCACTTTCACATATAATTAATGTGAACAAATTGATCTTAAAAAGGCATTAGATATCGATGATAATAATAATAATAATATTATAAGCGCATATGTTCGCGTTAATTATGTCATTGACAGATTTTGATTCTTTTCAATCAATAGATTCATTGTCAAACTATAACAAACGATCCCATGAAATGTGCGAACAGAGTATAAGATTTTTCGTTGCACAGAATTGGCTTCGTTCGATAAAACATTCGTTCGTGATTTGTCCTTTTTTTTAATTTGCGTTTTTATCTAAATTTATACAACAGTCACATATTCGAAGGTTCTATTTACAAAATTCTACAGATATAGCTGATAACAAACATTGATTTTTGGCTATAAATCGGGAGGGTTAAGTGGATAGGGGAAGGAAGGAGAGAGGTTGATATCCTATATCGCGGAAAGTACGCATCATTTCTATGGAAACATCGTTATTATGTTCCCCGTTAATTCGGCTCTCTTTCTTTTTCTTTTTCTTTTTTTTTATCTTCTTCTTCATCTTTTTCTTCTTCTTCTTCGAGAGAGCCTTTGTTATCGTGGGAATGAAAATGACGTTAAGTGCACAATAATATTCTCTTTTGTGCATATTATGCGATAAACAAAATAACGAAAATGTGTATGTGTGTGTGTTAAGTGTCTGTGCGTGTACGTGTAAAAAGAAAAGAACACTATTCGAGCTAGAAGTGCACAAATATCTTTACAATATTAATCCTATAAACGAATAGTATAATTCATATAATAGTACGCAATTGACCATCCACGTACGACAATGTATTGTACATAAACGTTTTCTTTCTTTTTTTTTTTCTTTTTTTTTTATTTTTTTTTTCTTTTGTACCAAACGTCAGATTTTTTCTCTCTTGCCCACATCATGATGCACACACACGAATAAAATAAGGATACATACGGAGTTTAATAAAATTATTTGCCAAATGAAAAAGAAGAGACGAAAAAGGAAAAAAGAAAACAACAATAACAACAACAACAGCAGCAACATCATCAACAACAACAACAACAACAAACAACAATAAAATAAAAAGAAGAAGAAAAGAAAATTGACTACAATTATGCCAGCTACTTTCTTCGAGCTTTTGTCGTAAGAACTGCATAGCTATATACAAATTGGCATTATAGATATCACAGTTACAATGTATGACGACGACAATCGCGGAAGGAAACTTCTCTTAAAGCACTGCCTTTTTTGTTTATGTCACAACTAGCACCATATAATGTGTAATATGTATATAGGTACAATATAATTCTTGTTTTCTTTCTTTGTTTTTGTTTTTTCTCTTTTTTTTTTTTTGCTTTTTCTTGTCGACCGTTATTAATGTTACGCAATTGTAATACATACACCAATGATAATTATTATTACTATTATTATTATTATTATTATTATTATTATTATTATTATTATTATTATTATTATTATTATTATTATTATTATTATTATTATTAATAATAATAATATTATTTGATCGTTTTATCTCGTTACTCCCCCCTCTCTCTCTCTCTCTTTCTCTCTCTGTTATCATTTACGAACTTTCGATATAGTTTCTTCCATCCAACGAGTATCTATTATATAATTGTGTGTATTTCTATATATACATACGTACATATATAATTTATGTATGTATGTATGTATGGATGTACGTATATATGTATGTATATATGTATGTATGAATGCATGTATTTCCCTAAGGCTATACTTTCGTTTTCAGATATTATATTAACGTTTCTCTTTTTACTTTTTCAATATCTTTTCATAGGATATGCACGTTTCTTTCCATTGATTCCCCCTCCCCTATCCGCCCTTTTCACCGATCGCGAATCGTTTCAATTAATTATGTACGAGAAAGAACATTTCTTGAGAAAATTCAACTACGAAATTACGAATACGCGCTAAAAAGAAAAGAGAATAATAACAAGGATGAAACGTCGATTTCATAGATCGCGATTTAACTTTCTTCGTTCATGATTATTATATCTAGAAAAATAGGCCGAGAAATATAGATTATACGTTCGCTAAGATAACGGCGAATAATTTATGTTTAAAATAATTCCCATGAAGATTTTCGTGCATTCGATCGATAAATTGTCTCTAATCAGAACCGTGAATAGAATTTATCTTTCTTTCTTTCTTTCTTTCTTTCTTTCTTTCTTTGTTTTTTTTCTTTCTTCTTTTTCTTTTTTTTTTTTTGTTGGAAAAGGACGTAAATTTTAAATCGCACATTTAGACATTTCCGTTTATCGTAGGCACCTTATTATATGGAGTTTTTTTTCCTCTCCCTCTCTTTGATCAACGAAAGAGAGACGATCCTTTATCATCGATGAATATATCGTATCAAAAATGAATACGCGATATTATTAATATCTTTTTGTCCTACTCAACAACGGAACGAAAGCCGTGCCCGTGGAGTGTGCGTCCTTATATGAGCAGGTGATTATGAAAGTACAATAAGTCATTTGAGATATTAAAAGGGCATATTTTGTCGCTCGTACATGCGCTATACTTAAAATTATATTACATTGGATAAAAGAGAATTATTTTTTTCTTTTTTTTTTTTTTTTCTTTTCAAAAATAAATATACTTACTTTTTCTGTGCTTGTCATTATAAAAAAAAAAAAGAAGAAAATAAATAAATAAAAATAATTTTTAAAAAATTCAAATCGAAATGTGAAAATATCTCAAAATAAAAAACCTATACGACTTAAACAATTTTCATAATCATAGGCTCATATTTTTCCTTGTATATATTATCCTTGTCCCGTAAATACAATAAACTTTAATGCCTATTTATATTGTGAAAGAGATCTGGTGAGATAAATACTATATATTGCATAACATTTCTTTTTTTCTCTCTCTGTTTTTCTTTTTTTTTTTTTCTTTCTCTTGATACCATAAACCTTATAACATACATATGTATGTACTTATGTCGTAAAATAGATAAGAAAAGCAACCGTTAGTATGACAATAATGGAATCAATCGCCATACAAATGTATAATGCAATATTGTGATTCTTACAAGCACGTATGTAATATGCTTTAGAGAAATGCGTGCGCCTTATTTTTTAATTAAATGTTACCTTTTTCTTTTTTTTGTATTGAAATAAATATAAACAAATATATAGGAAAACAATAAATTTACCAAAAATTGTAAAATTTATATAGACCTGTGTTTTTTTTACAATGTTAACTTCGTATAATAAACTGAAGAAAAAAAAAAAAGAAAAAAAAAGAAAAAAAAGAAATAGAAAAAGAAACAAACACACATCAATCGAAAGTATCAATAATTTTATAATAATTATGATTCGCACATATTTGCGCGCGTTTCCTATCACGATTGGTATTCAATTTAATGTTTAATTATTCACTACTTTTTCATTATTTCCAGTTAGTTTGAATTAACGTAGAGCATAAATTATTTAACATTATCACATGTGTTAACATACTGGATGTTCAACTCATGTCCACCATGATAGCTTACACTGAAAAGAAGACTTGTTTCATGGCAACTTTTGAGGTAATATTATATAATGCGCAATATATTATCACGTAAACTAATGCGGTACAGTCTAATATTGTAGTATTGCAACGTTTTTACCAGAGTTAATGTCAAAATTGACACGTTTACAAGTATTTCTTGGACAAGGGATGAACAACCAGCAATTACGATATATATATATACATATATATATATATATATATATATATATATATATATATGTATATATATATATAAGGTCATATTATAAGAAATATTAATATAAATTAATAAAAGAAGATCCCTGATTATATATATTTGAAAAACTAAAACACAACTTTCAACATTTGGAACGACCACTCAATCATACTATACGCACTACCGAAGACATATCTATCGACATATTTTTTTTTTACAATTGCTTTAGAAATCCTTGCAATTATATACAAATACACAAATAATGCATGCTCCCGAATGATAAGTATTTTCTTATACAGATTAAACCTTAACTGGGGATGTGGTAATTAGCTTTTACAGAAATACAATCTGATTGGCCCCAACATTTAGATATTCATAAAATTGTTAAACATAGTTGTACAAAAATAGCATTGCCGTTTGTGTGCGATTAGCTAGAATTATGAGGCCATAGGAAATCTAAATAAAATAAATGTAAGATTTATCAATTTAACATAAACTTCCATTTTTCAATTATAATTTTTTTAATTTGTGCATAAATATGTTTGGGCAGTGAAATCCTATTGACCTCACATCCCTGGTTAAAGTTAACCACGAATAAGCGTAGCGAGTTTGCTAAGAGATATAAAGTCTTGAATACTAATGGTCACTTAACACGAGGTAAAACTGATAATAATATATAACGTGAAAAACAATTGCTTTCATGAAGCATTATAACATAATCGATTAAATTTATACTTTCCTAAAGTCATGATGTAAAATGATATACAGTAGCGACACGGATAATAGTGATTTAAAGCATGCCTAGGCTTCCATATTTCAATGTCGTATCTGAGTGAATCTGCATTTCATAGTGGGCGGATGTGATATTAGTAGAAAGAAGATATGAACCTATCTTCTATAACTTTGAAAAAAAAATCCATTCTACATTCTAATGTTCTAGGAGATCTAAGGAATTCTTCTCTTATTCTTAAAGATGGAGTAAATGCAGAAAATTCCTGAATTACAAATACGTATTCATTATTTTTCAAAACGTGTTAATATCCCACACTAAATCCTTAAAGAGGATATATTTAAACATTTCTAAACTACATATATAATATCTTTCAAAAAGTGTGCTCTTAAAGAAGAAAATTTTACTCTATTTCTAAAATCCTTGTACTAAATACCTCACAGAACAAAACAAAGCATACACATTACTATAAATCTATTACATTTTGCAAGTAATTGTACTACATCTATTATCCATAAAAGAATGATATATCTAAAACTGTCGTTATTATCTCACAAACCCTATTTTGTTAATGTATGTAATATGCTTTATACTATATTAGGCAGCAGTGGTTAGGTCATTTAAATATCTTGTTCATAGCATTACCAAGTACAATGTTTCAATTAAATTATTCAAGTATTCTTATAACACCAATCAGATGCTCGAGGCAGTTTTAAGATCACACAGACCCAACAACTGGCATCAAAGAAGCCAACACAATGTGTCGCTATTGTATATATATATTTTTCTCTTCAATGTACTATAATTACTATATTACTAATTTACTAAGATATCTCTGTTTGTTAGAAATATCATGTCGTTGTTATTATGCACACTCACGAGATTATGTTACATCTATGCACACAGATATGTGTAAATGGACGATATATGAAAAGTTTAGCATGTGTACATAAATGTTATGTGATTGTGCGTTCATCGGTGAATACTCTGTACCTAATTTGCGCATTAATCTTATATGCAACCAATGTGTCTTAAGTATATGTACTGCAGTGAATAATGTACATAGTACAATAGTTAGCATTTTAATTATATATTAAAGACAACAAAAATGTTGCATATATCGAAATGAATCCGATTGCACCTTTACAATTATTAATCTTTTAAAGTATTGGAGAATATATAATATCGCCTAAAGTTTCGAAGGAATTGTCTACTTGACACACATCTGGGTCATATATTTAAGGAAGGCCACATTGAACTAGTCTAAAATATTATTTCCTATTATCTAAATCAATATCGATAAAATGTAGCCTAGATTATTTATCCCATGGCGCAACTGAGAAACAGTCAATTAATGATCATTTCAGATGCTTTCATAGGAAAAATTTTTTTGTATGAATTAAGAAATTCGATAAATTTAGAAAATAAATACATGGTCTCAGCTATGATGAATAAAGAAAATTGGCATTTTATCATTTTGCTTTCTATAGTACCATCAAATAAGCAAAGTTTACATACAATTATGTGATGTACACTCGAACCATAAATTGTGCACATCAAAATACCCCATAAACACCCTTTAGATTATAAGATTTTAAATATTGAATACATATTAGAAAACTATGGAGTTATACAAATGACTTGTAAAAAGTTAGTAGACTTAGCTTTCACAGAAGTGAACTAATAAAAGTGGAAATATTTTCTCATTTAAGCTAACACACGTAACTCTCTCCAAGTAGCTTTTGTATGTAGTGCCATTCTAAGTTTTAAAGAGAAGATTATAGAAAACATTTCTAAAAGCCACTGAAAAATGTTTGTGAACGCCAAATACATAAAAAGCTGTTATCAACCAATGTACAAGCAAGAATTTTCATGAACTTTTTAATTATTATTAGAAAGGTTGCTGATTCCAAGAGTTTTCTGATTTTCAATACGCTTTATCACAAGGACTGGATCATCAGAAGTCTCAACGATTTTCTTCTCTAAATCCAAATCGCACAGCAACGTGGCTTGCATTGCATTGTACATACCGCTTCTTGCATAACGAGATGCCTTTGTCAATTCATGAACACTGTTGGCCAGAGTTAATATATCTGAAAGCAGAAAAAATAGATCACATAAGTACTATTCCAAATTAACTATCTGCATATTATTTATTTTTGTTACAAAATGTTCTATTTTATTTTTGTCAACTATATTGCTAAATTCATTTTTTAATATATTCATTATAATTTGATCCTGCACCAATAAAAATCAAAGTTTAAATATACTTCAAAATTTAGAAACCTGATAATAAAAAGTAAAATTTGAAAAAGTTCTATTTTTCTTTGACAATAAAAAAAAGTTTCATTATAATTTTTATAATATAGATAGAGTAATTATAGTATAGATAGAGTTTTAGATAATTTTATTTTCTTAATATAATAAAAATATAACTGTTTTTTTTTAATTGATAACATTGTAGTACAATTGTTAATGCTAAACAAATTTATAACTATCACCACTTGTTAACAGATTAAATATATATATATATATATATTTAATATATTAATATATTAAATATATATATATATATATTATTAATATATTAAATATATATATAAATAATTTAATATTAATAATTTTTATAAAAAACTGTTTATTATCTTCATATTTAATAAATTATATAAATTTAATAAAGTCAATGCAAAATAAGCAAAAACTCTATCAGAACACGTCTAATTAAACGTATCTAAAGAGTTAACATGCTATACTAATAAATTCATATTTCTTGTTTAAAAATGTAGATATCAGTTTATTCATAACTCTACTTGTATATATTAAAAAGAAAAACAAAAAATCTTTTTTTCTGATAACATGCTATGGAATTTTGTGCAATGAGATACACAGTAATACCTGAAAATAAACACTTTGGACATTAAACCAATGATGTTTTAATAATATTCCACCCAATAATTTTTTATTATTAGTATATTATATTATTATATCGAAGACTTACTTCACATTTTGTTTAAATTTAAGGAGCAACAATTTCATACAACAAATTCTTATTCTTTACTATAAGAATATATTAAAAAAAAAGGTATGTTGTCCAAAAAAAAACAATTAATTTAACAATATATATATGTATTATACATTATATATTATATGTTATACATATATATATTGTAAACATAATATGAGGAAGATCTTTGGTGACTTCTGGTTTAGGCAAATATATTTTTATTGCAACATGTATTACTAGAAGATACTATTAACAAACTACTACTACATGGTAGAGCTGATGCATCTTTTATAAGAATCATATAAATATTATAGTACAATCATGACAAGTACAAGTATATTCTAAAGAATAAACTTTAAATAAAAGTGTATGTGATTTCTAATGCAATGTTGCAGATACTTCTCTTTTATATAAAAGTACTATATCTACTACTAATTTATTTATACATATAAAGATATTCTCATTCAAACTATGTCAAATAAAATTTAATTTAGTATCTCAGGCTTTTCTTTGGATCTAATTTATGAAACTCTTACTAAAAAAATCTATTTAAAAGCACCCCAATCTTATTGAGATTTACAAGGGTCATGGTCTCAATATAGAATGTGTGATAAAAAGCAATTACTTAACAGGACACATATGTATCATCATCAATAACATACTTTGAATACAGACAGGATTAGAAAAAAAAAAATCAAAATAATTAAAATAAAAAAAAATATATGCCACTCACATAACCGTTGTGTCTGTGATCATCCGTATTATGTTTTTTGCTACACGGATCCGGGTAGCACTTGAATATTGATAGAACCATAACAATATCGAGTTACACCAATAGACACATGAGCGAGCTCCTTAGCGAAAGCAATGCTGTGCAATAATTCGTGTATTATATAACACAATATCATGGTCAAAATTAATAAAAAGGTAACTTACCATTATCATTATACACGAGAATGCAATGAGGATTTTCTTTTTGACGTTTGGTAGCATTTGCGATCTCCTGCTTTCGACAGTCTTGAACAAATTTGATTGCTTCTAGCCAATACTGCATTGCCTTGTGTATACGTTGATTCATTGAACTTCCACGTAAGCACTCCATCTGATAGACAAAATCAGTGCAATTATGCATTATTCACAAATATTTTTTTTTTTCTTTTTAATTAATATCAAGAAAATATAAAACAATATTAACAATTTTTGCAATATAACAAAATTTTTAAAATGTGCATTTTTATAATTAAATATAATCATTTAGATGTACAAGTTTTCATTAAAAGTTTCTCTGAACTATATAAATTGTACTATTAAAATGAAATATATTTATAAAATAAAATAATGATCTTATAATTTAATACGTGTAACAAAAGTTAATATAATTGTAGTATTTACTTTTGCTATTAATGTGATCACCCGGGCATGTTCTCGTAGGTAATCAATAATTAATCGATCTACTCTTGATGGATTTCCTTGAAGCCGTGGAATAGGTATATTATTTGCACTGGTTACTCTTTTTCCAGGAAACTGTGCAGCTAATCCAGCCTCACATTTCTTCCTTTCTTTTTCTAATTGTTTAAATTGTTCATAAGTTTGTTCTAATCTAAGATGCAATATACTTGATGGACCTGTGCGTCTTGCTATAGTATTACTGCCTTTAAGATTGAGTCCTCCACCGTATAACATTGAGTAAATAGGTGGAATAGGAAGCGGAACAGGAACTGGCATCATTGGAGAGAATAGTCCAGGTCTTCCAGCAGTCATGTTTGGTATTAAAGTTGAATTAAACATTATATCAGGTGGTGGAATACTAGATATATTTTGAACACTTGGCATTTGATGTTGTTTTATGACATAATTGAAAACATCTCTTCCAAGAGCAGATTCATTAATCTTATTGGTCAAACGATTTCTTGATGTAAAAGCTGCTTTATCAGATGAACCACAGGATTGCATTTTATATGCAGGATTAGTATGAGATTGCTTTAAATCCTTGTGATACGGCGTAAAGTTTTGCGAAAGTGTTTTCAAGTTCTCCACATTCTTTGTAACATTATGTTGATAATTATGATAATCATATTTAACTATTGCCTCATTTTCATCTCGCGGGCTTATATTTTTTGGAAAACCGATAGAGGAGTACATTTTTGTTTCAATAGTCTTTGGCTTAGTATTTATAATCTTTAATAAATTATTATCAGTTCTATGATCATAATTGCTATTAATGCAAATATTCTCATTTGTGTCTAAATCATTAATAGATGGCACAGCACATTCATTAGTACAAGGAAAACAGTCAATTGGATGCTTATGGTTTTGGTCCACAGATCGATCTATTTGATAATTAGATGTTTGCTGATGTAATAAGCAAACCTGTTCATTATTCATAGTAACATTTCCAGTACTTAATCTAATAGGTTCGTATAAATCTTTGTACTCTGCAATACCATTGTGTTGAGTATTATTTCCAAAACAATTCTGCAGAGTTATATCACTAGAAGTGAAATGCTGCAGTGAAGAACTTGTTCCAAAAGAAGCATCCGTACTAAGATTTATCATTGTTGAGTTTGGTCTATAAGTTTGATTATTTCCAGTCATATTGTACAAATCATGAGTCGCAACTGTAGGATTATCACGTAAATTTAAAGGTGCACTTGATCTAAAACTATTATAATATACTGCTTCATTCATAACAGTCAAATTTGGTGATTCTGAGGCTAAATGTAAAGCATCATTAAAATTTAAATCTGAATCAATGGATGTTCGGATCCGTTGATAATTTGTGAGCGTATCTTGTGTAGTTACTGGAGTCATTAAAGTTTCTGGCCAACTAGAAGACTGTTTTGAATAATTTATTTCATCTGCTGTTGTCAATAAAGTGTTACAAACTGGTGGATTAGTTATACTACAGCAACTTTCATTGGTAGAGTGTGCAGCATACTGATGAGAATTACTATTATATCCACTTCTAATTATTCCACTACTATATAAATTTCCTTGATCTGCTGATATAACAGGTTGTTCCATACATCCATTCAGACTTAATGTTCTTAACTCTTGACAAAGATTACTAGAATTTTGATCAATTATATTTGAATTACAACTATTGTTCATCAATTTGTTCAGTGGATAATGATCATTACAATCAATTGTATCATTTTGGGGAATTTTTAAATTATCCTCCATTCTATCGGCGTTGCAAAAATGAGATAATGATAAAAACGGAAAATTGCTATTATAACTATTGTTATAAGTATGATCAACGATAGTAGAGTCATCATCAAGAATTTTGGAAACTAAATCATTGACCATGGAATTGTTTAGATCTTGATTGTCCTCATCTTCCAAATTCATCTAAAAAACAGATGATGAAGATTTTAAATCATCAATATCTACAAAACAATAGAGATTTCAAAAGAATAATGTGCTATAAGTAATAATGATAAGTAATATAAATTTAATTAATTTAATATTATGCTCTGTTATAAATTAAAAATAACATATATATGAATCTATGTAAAACAAATTTTAAAAGAAAAACTATTGTCTGTATTATATAAATGATTAAAATATAATATTTAACATTAGAATGTTATTAAGAAAATAATATATTGAATATATAGTATAGTAAATGTATGCCATATTAAGAGATATACCCCAAACTTGATATTCGATAAGAACGTAATATAAATTCACTTCAATGATTAAGAATATGATATAAAATTTAAATAAATGTATAAAGGTATTAAATAGGAAAAATATTAAATATTATAATTAACCATAAGAGTATCTTTAGAATAAATCTTCATTAAAATTATTCAATAAATTAAATATTTCCCTTTATAAATGACCATTTGAGATCAATCATTATTTGATTTTGAATATAAATTGTAATAAAATTCGATAATTGAATTTATTGAAATAATTACTGAATTTTTTAATAACGAAACAAAAAATTTTTAAATAATTAAAAATTCACACATACATTATTTACACAATCTAAATAACTTAAATCATATGTTTCTTTAACTATATTGCTCTAACAGAAGCAAACGGTGCATTGTCTATCGCAAATAATTTTCAAATTTTAAACGATCGAAACTTTCTCATGTAACAAAGGGCATCGATATATCATTTCACAAAGGTAAACTTTTATTTATTTGATTGAAATTCATTTTAATAAAAGCAATCGTTCATCGAGCAATATTCTTTTCGAAAAGAAATAAATCCAATAAAAATAGATTTTTTTAATTGTCATTTGTCAGCTTATACAGCTCCAAAGCATCTTGATCGAAATAATTTTTTTTCACTGTACGAACAATACAAAATCAAACTTCACTTTTCTATTTCGACTAAAGTGAACTTGAAAAAATGTTTTACCTTGTCAACACTGAAACAATTGTTGCTAATAATCGTAGCTACATCGTGCACCTCGGATAGAGCCATTTGTTAAAAAAACACTGTGATGATCACCTCCTCTGCGCGTCATTACCCTTTCACTCATGCGGCTTCTGCCTGCCTATTGTATACGTTCTGAAAACACAATTTAATTCGCATTTCGAGTCACATCAAAAAGACGCTTACATTCAGCATTGCAGGCCCGTATACATGGATTATACCGCGAACTTCTTCGTCTAACGTATGTTTTTATATAACGGTCCTCTTTTGTCCAATGATAACGTTCATATTCTAGGGAAATTCTATGATCGCATAAAGGACAAGAAAATTTCTTGAAAAAAAATAGCGCGCGAAAAAGGAGACAAAGTGCATTAAAAAAAAAAAAAACGAAGAAAACGAGCACAAAAAGAATGTTTTTAGAACGATAACTCAAAATCACTTTACTATATTAAAAATATGTATATATGCGTATAACAGTATAAAGAATATAAAGCAGATTGTTAAAATTTGTCAAGAATAAAAAATTATTTGCTTAAAAAAAAAAAAAAAAAAAAAAAAAAAAAAAAAAAATTATCGTATATGTACATATTTATATGGTACATAATTTATAAATGAAATATCAATTTTTCCTCATATTTATGTTAACAAATAATTCTATTATAATAAAAATATATTTCGTAAAGTTACGTAATATATTTAATTTTATTAACTTTTCCAAATAATTTCAAATTCAAGTTTTATATTGATTCGATAAAAATTAAGTTAAAATAATGTGGTTGGTATGACCACATGATACGATCTAATTTATTCGTTTTAAAAAATATCAATCAATCGCTAAAATTTAAATCATTAACATTTATATTATAACTATTTTAATTTTGTTATGCTTATTACTTATAAAGGTATAATATATTTATTATTGAAACTTCATTTGTTAAAACATAGTATTGCTTCTTCAATGTTATAAGTTTCGAAAAAATTATATGTATAGTTCAATATTTATAAACGTTATATATATAATTTCAACAAAAAAATTTTTTCTTACGTAATACAACATTAATATTTTCAAAATTAATTATATCAGTTATAAGTACACGTATTAACAGGAAAAATATAAAGTTAATTCGTTGGTAGCATTGAAAATAAAATTGGAGTCGTTTTCTATCTATGCTTCAGAAGTTTGTGGTTGGGTGCCGGCTGCCATCTTGGACCTCGCTCGTTTGAGAAGCCGGCCGCCCGTAAAAATCTCGAGTTTGTCAAGCTCGCGCGGCCTCAGGAATCCTATACGCAACTTTCTTAGTATTGCAACAAATTTGGAATCCTATTGCAGTCAAAACAGTCAAAATTTGGACACGGAATGCTTTAGGTGAGCTCGAAATAAGCTAACATCGGTTGTCCTACCGCGATGGCGTGTGATTTTCTTCGTACATGTGTGTTCGTGTCTTATGCGTGTGCATGCCTCTACTCCATGCGCCGATAATAGAATATTTTTACATTTAAATTATAATCCAAGAAAAATATCCATCAGTGCTTCTTTACTTACATATATATTTTTTCATATTATTTACTTCAAATTATCTTAATAAATAGAAATTTTTTAATACAGAAATTGTAATAAGTATATCAACCAAATATAAGGCTTATATACCTTACAATCAATAAGTATCTACATGTATTCTACTTTGACTACTAGATACTCTCTCTGTTGCATTTCTGTAAATCAAATTTATTTTACTTCTTATAAATATATTTTCTTGTCCCAATAAGATACTCTGTTGTACCTATTCATATATATTTTTAATCATGAACATAAAGTTAAGTCCGCTATATTTAAAGTTATTCGTGAAAATACTACAGATTCTTATATTAATCTTATATCATATAAATATATACTACATGCTGTTAATTAAATTCTATGATTATTAATTGATCAATATATTACTTTGTTGTAACACATTTTGTGTTTTGTATATTATAATATACAGTAGATCATTTAAAATTGTATATATCGTATATACATTTAACATATGTGTGTATAAATAATATAGATATTAATAGAGTAGTTTGGCTATATTTAATAAACTTAACTATATATAACTTCAGCAATAATTAATTGATTATGATATTTTAGATAAAATGTAATAATCACACACATTGCACACATTAACTTATTTGTAATTTTTCAATTCTTTATCAATATTTATATAAGTTGATAACCAGACTTTGTTTTGATTTAGACGTTTCAGAATATTTTGATATTGGATTTTCAAGATTACTCAAAGAAATACATTTTTAAATTATTTGTATCGATAATAATGATTTATTTATCTTCTCTTATATTATATTTTTTTAACAAAGTAATGAGTATATCAAATTAATATATATTTTTATGAAAAGTAATATATTTTATATGTAAAATGTTCTGTTTATTATTAATGATCTGAAACTTATAAAAATTATTTTATATTTATTTAAATATAAAGTTAAAATGAAAGTTCTTATTTTTTAGTATGGAAATAATAAATGTTATTTAAAATAAATGTACGAGAAACACTGTTTACTTTATTTTCATATTCAATTGTTAGGAACTTGCTGTGTGTATCTGTAGAATATATATTAAATTAGATCATACTAAGCTATAATTAATTATCTCATAGAACATTATTCCCTTATAGTTTTATATAATATTTTTATTTGTATAATGAATTTATTTATTTATTCATTATTTAGGTTTACTTTTGTCAGCACGTGTTTGTGGGTGGGCAAGTGGAAAATTGAGATCAATTAGTAACGATAAGAATTTGGTAGTTGGCCGAGACAGTGCGGCTGTCAGTACACCAAATAAAAACACACATATAATTGAGAAAATGGCACTACCAAGCAGAGCAAGAGTTTATGCAGACGTGAATTCACACAAATCTAGGGATTATTGGGATTATGAATCGTATGTTGTTGATTGGGGGTAAGTTAATAAAAACTACTTTATATTCATACTTTTTAACCAATAATCATACTTTTGAATAATAATCAGATGTAATAAATATAACTAAGAAGAAAAGTTAATACAATATATTGCATTTATATTTTCTTTTTTTTCTACAGACAGCAAGATGATTATCAGTTAGTAAGAAAACTTGGCAGAGGAAAGTATAGTGAAGTATTTGAAGCCATAAATGTAACGACCACTGAAAAATGTGTTGTAAAGATCTTGAAGGTATTATAGATAATGCACAATATTTCTTACAATAATATCAATTAATATTAATATTAATGTTATATAATATCATTAATATTTTTCTTTTTACCGTTGTAGCCTGTAAAAAAGAAGAAAATAAAAAGGGAAATTAAAATCTTAGAAAATCTTAAAGGCGGGACCAACATAATTACACTCCAAGCAGTTGTTAAAGATCCAGTATCAAGGACACCAGCACTAATTTTTGAACATGTCAACAACACAGATTTCAAGCAATTATACCAGACTCTAACAGACTACGACATAAGATACTACCTCTACGAACTATTAAAAGTGCGTGTATAGTTAATTGCAATGGAACCAAATATCAATCCATGATGAACCTTCGAGATTATTGTTTTGATAGATGTAGGTGTATATGTAGGTTCAAGAAAGAGCTCGACAAATATTTATTTCATATCAACTTATTTACAATTTCCATTTTTAAAGATATGAATCTACAAGTATTAAATTTAAAGAAACATCCTGTCAGTATGTATCAAGAAAAAAGAATTGATTGTTTTAGTTTCAGTGCTCAGTTTTTAGTCCTTAAATTATGTAAAATATTTTAGTTGATGATTAAATTAAGTAATGTTATTATATTAAGTTATTTATTAAATATTTCTTATCTTAAATGTAGATAAATAGTCAAATTTATTGTTTGAAGTATAAATATTATATGAATCTAAGTTAGAAAGTAAATTACTTACGAAATATTTTCTATAGTCAGAACAACTTTATTTTTTAGTTAGTTATTCTGTTGATATGTACAAATTGTCATTTTAATTATTTATTTGTAATATTTAAAATGTCTCTTGTGATAGTTCAGTTAAACATAATATGATAAGTATTTTTAAAATGTAAAAATACCATGTTTAACTATTTAATAATATTTCGGAATATTGTGATTCTACATAGGCACTGGACTATTGTCACAGCATGGGTATAATGCACAGAGATGTAAAGCCGCACAATGTCATGATAGACCATGAAAACCGAAAGTTGCGGTTAATTGATTGGGGCCTAGCAGAATTTTATCATCCTGGGCAAGAGTACAACGTTCGAGTAGCTTCACGCTATTTTAAAGGCCCAGAACTACTTGTAGATTATCAGGTGTGTTTTATGTATATATATATATATATATATTACTATAATTAATAATAATTTTATGTGATATAGTGTTTTACAACAGATAATAATTTTCTGTAGAATTACTTTAAATTTATGTTATTTTTATTGTTCTATTATATATTTTTATATTAATTTTTTATATTACATTACATGCATATATTTGATAATATAATTAATATTACGAAATAATAATTTGGATTAAGTATGAATATATAAGGTAATATATATAAAAGGTGTGCAATATTTTTTTTCTAGATGTATGACTATTCCCTAGATATGTGGTCGTTGGGCTGTATGCTCGCGAGTATGATTTTTAGAAAAGAACCATTCTTTCATGGACATGACAATTACGACCAACTAGTTAGAATTGCAAAAGTTCTTGGAACCGAAGAACTATTGGAATATCTTGATAAATACCATATCGAATTAGATCCTCGTTTTAATGACATATTAGGAAGGCACTCGCGTAAGCGTTGGGAACGTTTCGTGCACTCAGAAAATCAACATTTAGTTTCGCCCGAAAGTCTTGATTTTCTTGACAAACTTTTGCGTTATGACCATTTTGAAAGACTCACAGCACGTGAGGCTATGGACCATCCTTACTTTTGTAAGTAAATTAGACAAGAAAAAAAAAATTATGAAAAATATGATATAATGTATATCTTAATTTAATAATACTTCATTGCAAGTTAATTCGTATATCTTCTTGAGATTATCAAAATGAAATATGTATATTTTGATTTATAGATCCCATAGTAAAAGAACAGGGTCGATTAAATATGGTATCATCATCACCTACTCCCATGGCAGGCTCATTGCCTGTAGGTGAGTAGCAACCCAGGTAAATGTCGAATTAAAATTATTTTTATTTATTAAGAAATTAAAATCTTTTATATATCTTATTGATATCTTATATATATTTATATTTATTATTGTAATTATTATAATAATAATAAATATAGATATATAAAAGTATAAAATTTATATATATTTATTATAAATTGTATAATATATATATATAAATGTAAATTGTACGACATCTCTTTATCATTGTATTAATATGATCTTGTAACATTAATAGTAATATTTCTGAATATTGCGTAACTATTTCCAGGTGGAAAATTGTAGACACCATTCTATCTGTATTATACGATGAAAACAAAATGTGTATATGAATAGTAAAAGAAGTTATGGGAATACCAATATTAACAATTTAGAGGAATGTTGGAATATATAGGAATACAATATAGTTGTTATACTTTATCTTATTTTAAGAATATAATGTTTAAAGATAAAAATGCTTACTCTTTGAGAAATAATTGTAATAAAATGTAAATTTACTCTATTACATATAGATTTAAGTACGACATTCCTAAAAATCTTGTTGTTATTAGTATTCCTATGTTAATAACACTCATAAAAAATGATATATGCAATGTCAAAACTTTATCACAATTTTGCATGTACTGATATCTTGTATTAATTACTTTGTTATATATAAGATCTCATTTTAATTCATTTGTATATATAAATATGTGAATTATATTTATATATACATACATATATATATATATGTATGTATATATATATATATATGATGTATGTATGTATGTATGTAGTCAATTTCTCGTTTTCGTTAATACCTATAAAAATCCTGTTATCTCTTTCATTCGTAAAATAATTAATGGATCACTATTCGAATCAATTTTTTAATTAGAAGGTCGTTACAGATGACCGTAGCATGACTGTGAACAGCTTACCAGTTCATGGAACAAACGGATTGGGAAGTATGGACGGAGTTACAAGTGGGGTTCTGATGCCCTTGGAAGAACTGCGTCCACTTTTATAAGTTCAGTATTTCTGAACTATACATTAACTCCCAGTCTACATCCTAATACAACACAGCAACAGCAGATATATTGTATCGTCAACTACATACTCCTCTGCACCACAATCATTCTGGTTTGTAACAACGGCTTCATCGATCCCGTCATTAAGACTGAGATATCTCACATTGCCCATTACTCTTTGAAAGATCTGTAAAAAAAAAGAAAAGAGAAACAACAACATTTAAAAATTATTCGATATTCACAATGTACGTAGAAGTTCGCGAAGTAAAAAGGTTTACAGTACGAAATCTAATATAATTAAGATACATGTCCAGTACAGATTGGCCCGGGCTGTATGTGATATCAAATACAAAACATGTATTATTTTTTTCATTCTGTAATTGCCCCCTATTGTATTATATTTTTTAACGTTGCTGTTATCGCATTCGTGTCAAGTCTATGACGCATGAAGATGCGCCTAGATATAATTTTATTTAAAAGGGGTGGTCACATTTATGCTGACACAAGACGTCTTATAGCAGCAGAAATATGAGACGAAAACCACATACATACATTCATACACAGTTCACACGCTCACACTTATACGCGTACCTTAGGCCATTCGGTTTAGTACTTTTAACGATGATAAAAATGTTCGTTTATATCTGATACCACAATGATAGTTGAATAAAATGTTTGTTATAGCCAAGTACTCTTTGTGCTCTGTGAATACCTGTGCATCCAGCAGTAGATGCTACCGACGCTGGTCGGCCATCATTATTCTACAAGAATTAGGAAACCATCAATTTGGAAGTGCGATGTAAGATAAATTCGATACAGAGATCTCAACAATAACTGATTATGTACGTTTCATCGTGGTCTTTCTCCTTTCATATTTAACAAAAGATGATGATTTTTTTTGAATATTATTAAAGTCAAAAATAGATTCCTCAAACAAGATTCAAATTATGAATATGCATGTTATTTAGTTAAAGCAAATACACAGGTACCTTAAAAAACTTGGCATGATATAGCGCCTGACAAAACTTCAAAATACTATCGATATAATACGCATTAGATCACATCCCCAACATGGTATTATATATGTATGTGTATACTTGTACATTTGGCGCGCTGGTCCGTCTTTTAAAAATAATTTTAGGTTATTGTTTTTTGATTATCTAGCCAACCGTCATGTAAGCCGATCACGTGATTATCTTATGAATATATTAAAGAAAAGCACACATTCTATAACTCGTCAAGAAATCAAGAGGGGCATGCTTGTAAACAATGTACAGTAATGAAACACACTCCACTTGCATGCTATGATTTTTCGTACTATTTTTGACAGAATTTATCAGTTCCTATACATAATAACAATTGTTCATAGAAAAAGGTCAATTGAACGTTATTTGTACATTTCCATGTAAACAACGTTCACTGGTATCAAGCGGAGTGTGAAATTTAAAAATCGAAAAGAAAAGGAGAAACGAAAATTTCTCAACGTGTTATGTACGGAATAGCATTCATTTTTTTATTCTTGTCACTGCGCCGTTTAAGCCTTATCTTCGTGTATTTTAAGATACTATACATGTTTCTATGTGCGTGTATACTGTGTGTGTGTGTGTTCTGTAAGATGCGCGCGCACGCAGCAAAATGTAGATGACGAATGCATAAACATAGAAGAATACAAATTCAAAGTGAGAGAAGGTGAAAAGGTGAAAAACAAAATAAATAATCCGTATATGCAATGAAAGTAACTGCTAATAACGGATATATATATATATATATATATATACACACACATATATATATACACATATATATACATATATATACATATATATATATATATATATATATATTTCTTCTAGGACTATTTTATTGCCATTTAACGAAATTATCATTAATCGCACATTGCGAAAGGCATTTAATTTTAGTCCTTTATAAATGGCAAAACGGCGCTATTGTATTATTTCGCCCAAAATTGATATCTCTCTCCCTGTTCATATACGTTAAGTTTATCATAATCTAGTTTAGTTTTATAGAAGAATATATTAAATAATTACTATTTAAATAAGCAAATTAACTTGAGATATAATAATAAACAAATTGTCAACACAAAATGACAAATAATATATTGCGCTAGCTTCTCTTTTGCATTATATTATATAATACATGCTAATTTTTGGGATATTAGAGTATCCGGAAAAAAGTTACTCTATCATTTACTATTACGTAGCAATCAGTTTTCTCTTTATTGTTCATCCTTGTGTTTTCTTCTAAACAATTATTTCAAATAACAAGTAAAATAAATGAGTATTTCATCTACCATTTCAATGGGATCCTACATTAATAAATATCTTAATCAATTTTTTTGTATCAAATTCTACGAAAAAATAAAATATATGGTGAATATTTTTCTTTTTGGTCATATGTAGAAGCCACCTAATGGTTGCTGTAATGAAGGATATTTTAATATGGTTGAGATATGACAATAAAATTTGCCAAAGTGCACAGAACCGACGTCTCTCTTATTTAATAAAATACGAGAAACAAAACTTTTTGCATCTTATATCATATGTTTCAAACAATATTTTTTACATCAGGTACACATTAACATTGACTAACGTACGATTATAGATTATTCTTCGTATATGCACAAAGAAAGTGTATATACATAACACGGTAATAATACATAACACATTTCTGCTTGAAAAAAAAATGTAATGACACTGAGATATGGGTGTTCTGTAGAATTAAATAAAAAAAACAAAAAAAAAAGAACAAAAAATACAATTTCATTTGTATTTAAATAACAAACATGTTCATTTTTTGTTTTGTTTCTGATATAATCTCAATAATATATCATAATTTTATCTTTCAATCAGAATTAATCTGATTTTAATAATTATATCACTAAACGTCTTTTATTTATTGCAAGAAATTCCTTATTCTTAAAATTAATAGAATAGATATTTTTTAATTATATATATTATTTCACAAGTAACAAAAAAGTAGGAACGTGTATTACATTCAAATGATAAAGTAACATTTATAATTGTTACTGTGATGTATATGACATTTATTTGTAAGATTATGAATAATATAGCTATATTCCTGCATTCTTTTCAATAATTTAAACGCATTGTAAATTACATAATTACCAACTTTCTTTATAAATAAACAATCTTCAGAGTATCTCTGAATACTTTATAAAGGAATAAGTTGACTTATTCTAAGGAGTTCAGCATCAATAACTGCTTTAACACTTTAGTTTGACTGGTCTCTCTAATTTCACCAGCTAGAAACATCTCATCTACTACTGTATACACCTGCAAATATAATACGTTATTAATAAAATTTAAGATGGGAGAAGAATAGAAATTACACAAATTTACTACTATCAGAAGATCTCAAAAGAAATTACAAGTATTAAATTCTATGTCCTATGTTTATTCTAATGAAAAAATGGAATAAACATTAGCAAAAGAACCTTTTTCCTTTATCAGAAAAAATTTGGTAAATGGTAAATATTACCTTATAAAAATTAAAGACTAAGTCCAATTCGCATACGTTGTGAAAATATTCGTTTAAAACCTCCACAAAATTATGAATTGCTTCCAAGTAACAAAGATTATTATCATTTACATCTACACAAATGCAAAAATATAAACCTGCATATCGTCTATAGACAATCTTAAAATTGCGGAACTAAAACATACATTTTAATTATATAAGAGATTAGTGAAAACAACAATTATATATTAATTAATATACATCATAAGTATTGATTATTATTATTATAGCAAAAAACATTATAAATATATAATTTTTTAATTTACTTCTACAAAATTAGTATGTTTGGCATCTCTAACAGTAACTACTGCATGAACTTCTTCGATCAATTTTTGTTTTTCATCGTCATCAAAATTCATGTACCATTTAGCAAGTCTAGTTTTACCAGCTCTATTTTGAATTAAAATAAAACGAATCTGAAATAGGTTATTTAATAGTTTTAATGTTATTTATTAGTATTTGAAATATTCAAGCTTATTATAAATAACATTAATAATTTACAATATAATTAAGCCACTTCCATGATCATTAATGCAATTGAAATAATGGTATAATCTAAAAAATTTTTTTGTTTTATCTTCTTTTCTTTCCATTTTTGGATTTCAATTATTATAATTAAGCAATAATGATACAAAGAAATTTTTTAATATCAGTCTAATAGAAAATTAAAAGTAACTATATAATATATAGATAAAAAAATGTCACATTCTAAGGTTATGGCATGATATAAAAAATAATTTAATAAATGTAATATCTATTCGTATGAATACTTACCATGATTGTAATATGTAACTACTTCAAAATATTTAATTTTAATATTTAAATATATAAGTTTATTCTTATTCAGTTAAAATGTTTAATCACTACTTTTGACACTTGCCGAATATCCACCCTCTACAGCCATTTTGTTTCGCGGCCATGAAAATATCGAGATATATCGAAAATTTAAATTACGAAATATGATATGTAACAATGTAACAGTAATCTACTAAATTTATTCATTATAATTATTTTCGATATTTATTCATTTTCATGATATTAATAGAAAATATTGTAATTTATAATCAATAGCTGAATCAAGTTCTTGAAAATATTAATACTAAAGGATTTCTCTCTTTCTCTTTCTCTCTCTTTCTCTCTCTTTCTCTCACCTCTCTCTCTTTTTCTTTCTCATCGATATTTTATTGCGATTGTTAAAAGAAAAATTATGTCATTTTATTATAAGTTATTTACTTAAATGATCTTAGAAAAATACTATTTTTATTGTATACAAATATTCAACAAAGAACAAAAAAATATCTAGGAATCTTTATTAATAATACTTATTTTTAATAATGATACGTATGTATTTAGTATATGCTGCTCTTTTGAATATTTTCTCTACATAGATGGCAGATTTGTGTGGGAAACTTTGGATTCGAGGCGTAGTCGTTCTGGTTGCTTTTATCCTCTTTCTTTGATCATATTATGATTATCATATAACGTCATGTTAGAATACATTAGGTTAGCTTAGATTAGAGCTATACTATCTAAGCCATCATTATCTTCGATATTTTTGTTACTTCATATGAGTATAACGTGGCATTTATTATGAATAAGAATATGTGACAAAAAAAATATGATGAAGTTTAGTACATACATATCCTCTATATTAGAGAGTAAGTAGATTTTTATCGTTGTTATTTTATTATATATTTATTAACATCTTTGCATATTACATGTTTAATATTTCCATTAATATTTATGAATATTGATTTTATGTCATTTTGTATATATATTTACATAAGAAACTATAAATATATCATATTTGCTCAAGAAACAATAAAGATACAAGGTGATGATAAAGAACAAGTTCCATGTTTTAAATCCAAACTTTTTTAATTAAAAATTTCCATCATTTTATAAAATTCTTTTGCATGGATATTTATTTACAAAAAATATTTATATGTATATATATAAAATATATACAAAATACATACGATTATATCAAAGAAAAATTCTTGAAATAAAAATAATATTTCTTTATCCCGAAAGATTGATATTTTGTAATATTAATATTTCGCATTTATAAAATTTAAAAATAAAAATTTGATAATATTAATTATACTTTATAACAATTTTAATTTGTATAAATATTTATATTATTTCTCAAGAAGCAATAAATTTTATATGCATTATATTATATTATATTATATTATATTATATTATATTATATTATATTATATTATATTTATAAGCAATTATAATTTTGTCTTAGGTTATGGTGAAGAAGGAAAATTTTAATTATGGATATATATGGCAAATACATTGAGCATGGATATAATAGATATAGAACATGTTGAGACCTGTGTGCATTCCTCTAAACATCCAACGTCTATACACTGCAACTGCATCAGTTCAAATTCTGTATGCTATGTAGCAATTACCATTGCAACTTTAGCTCTTCTAGGAGCTATAGTTTTCATATGTAAAGATTACATTAAAGTGCTGCTCTTCTGGATAGAACACCAGAATATTTGGATTATTACAGTCATATTTGTTGCACTATTCACAGTGGTTTCCTTTCCTATTGTAATTGGATATTTATTCCTCATTGTTGCCAGTGGTTATCTTTTTGGAATCGTGCGAGGCATAATGATGGTTGTTCTTTCTGCAAATTTGGGTATTGCTATAGCACATGTCACTTTGGGTGCTTTCTCTTCTAAACTGCCAATCGGAGCATTATTACAAAGTGATACTGCAAGAGCAATACTTAGAGTAATTTCAGGTCCACAAGCTTTTAAAGTTGTACTGTTTGCAAGATTAACTCCGATACCTTTTGGCCTACAAAATACAATTTTTGCTGTATGTATTATAACAATGTACATATCTTTCTTATATGTTACATATATAATATTTAAATATATTTATTACATGATACAGGTTAGTAACATAACTGGAATTCGCTACCATGTAGCTAGTGCATTGGGTTTATTACCAGCTCAACTCATTAATGTTTACTTAGGTAGCAGTTTGAGATCAATGCAAGATGTACTAGAAGATAGATCAACAGCAGCAACTGGATATATTGTTTTCTGTTTCCAAGTAATTCGTCTTTTATAATAAATTTATCAACTAAATCGATAGATTATACAGTCATAAGTATATAAGGAAATTAGTAAATGTAATAAAAATAATCATTTTATCTTTTCGTATAGATATTAGTAGGAGTATCTCTTATGGTATATGTTGTACAAAAAGCACGCAGAGAACTACAGTTGGCCTTATTGGAAGCTGATCTTGCATCAATGACTGATACACCTCACTATTTGTTAGATATTATGCCAGATTCTAAAATGACTTTAACGAATTTCATTGCTTGATAGTTATATTATAACTAATCCCAATTAACTATATGATAAGTATATTTTAAATATTAAAAGAGGATACGTTAATTCTTTGCACTCTATAGTCTTCTATTCTTGCTAAGAATAAATGCACTATATAATACTTATATTAGTGTATAGAATATAAGGAATTAATATTTTTTCTATGAGAATAGTAGAACCATTTATATGTGTTAACTTTTTTTTTCTACTACTACTTTTCTACTACTATTCTCTTATCCATTATGTTCCGAATGCATTTGTAAGGATTTTTATAGAAATATATATATATGTATATACATATATATAAGCTTCCAAAAAATGTATAAATTAGTTCTATCTGATTTAATATTGTTATTTATTTTTCTATTTAACTTTTGAATAATATATATGATAATATACTATAATTTTTTCTTCTTTAAATACTGCGATGATGTATTATTGTTATCATATCATCATCTTAGCTTGATCAGTTAGTATTACATAAAAGAATTTATTACAGTCTAAACAAGTGATTCCTTATGAAAGAAACATATATTTTGTAAATTATATGTTTATAATTTCTTTTTAGGTATTGATTATGTATTTTATACATGTAAGATGATATTAGCATTCTTAATAGTTCTTTAAAATTTATTGCAATAATAATATTTATGAAAATATTATCAAATAATCTGAAAAGTATTACATACAATAGCTTTCAAATATTTTTGAGGATACATAAGTTGAAAGGATTACTCATATTTTTAGAATAATAATAAAACTTTTACCGTTAATAATATTAACATTACAATAGAAATGATCTTAAAGGTATTGCATTTTTTGTGATATAGATTTTAATTTATTATCACAGAGATCATGATTTATTTTATAATATATTCGAAGCAATTCTCGTGCCAAATTGTATATTATTTTGTTATATTTCGAAATATTCATGCAGTGATTATTATATAATTCAATTAATATTTATTAATGCATTTGTAATATTATTTAAATATTATTTAATGTATTTTATTATAACTTCTCTATGTACATGAATAATTTCATATGGAACTTAATGTAACATAAAAAATTGACGAAAAAATATACGATTAATCAATATGTAATTTATAAATAAATAATGTAAAAATTTTGTATTTAAGTCATATAAAGTTTCAAGTTGAAAATAATAATTTGTTTTCATTTACAGTTGCACATCTGTATTAATTACTATTGTATAAATTTATCTATATCTTGATATATTATAAATCCATATCTCATCCAATAATTAACTTATTTGCTATATATAAAACATTGAAAAGAGAGAGAAACTAGTACTTATTACCCATTAATATTTATACAAAATTGCTTAACTAATATTATCAAAAATAGATTAGGAAACAAATTTGACAAAATTAAGATTGTTAACAATTTTTGATGTTATAATGATTTATAGCAAGAATGAAACCAGACGTAATTCTTGACCAATTTTTATGAACAAGATCTCATTTTAAAGACGAAAATTTAAACAAGATGATAATTTTCTTGGGTTCCTGATAAAAGCAAAAAAAACCATATGCTAGATTATATTACTACGAAAATAGATAAATTGAAGAATGTTTGTTAATTGTACAAAATTGTACAAAATTATATTTTCTGTTTCTTATTAATTATTTATACAAATATATATTAAATATTAATATTATTTGCATTAAAATATAACATATAGAAGTTAATAGCAAAAACGCGAAAAAGAAAATAGTTGATGTATAATTTGAATTTTAAAATATGTGAATATGAAGAATAATTGCAATAGAAAATATAGTATTTAAATTGAAAAGCATAAAACAGGAACAAATAAGAGTATATAAGAATAATCAAGATTGAAGTATTATTAGTAATACTATATGTAATTACAAAATTAGTAATTACAAATTTAGTGATATAAAATAAGTTTTTAATCAGAATTAAATTAAATGGATATTGAAAATATATTGAAATATGCAGCCATTCACCCAGTAGTATTTGTGTTGCATAATTTACAATTAGATTTCAATATATCGCAAATACTAACGACCCAGGTCTCACTATGTGGAAGTTGCTGCATGTGGAGACCCACGGGCTGGCTAATGGTGCCTCTACTCTAGAATCCGCGTTCGCGAGATAATCTAATCAAATTTTCGAACAAATAAAACGAAGTTTCCAATAGGACTTTGCTTTTTGAATATAACAACTGCACTGTACGTAATCGATGCAAAAATATTTGTTATATAAATCGCAAAACGCGAACGAACAAACAATGCTTTTATTTCGCGATATTTTTATTTTAACGAAACAAACACTCAATTACTTCATCGCTATGCACGTGATTGCAATGAAGTTCTGAAATAGAAAAATACAAAAAAATTTATTAATATCACTAGATTATTAATATCATGACAAGACTCTATATAAAATATTCAAGAAATTTATGATATAAAAATATACTTACTTTATCTATAAGATGATTAAATGTAGGAATTTGTAAAGAGTGTATTTTGACGTTTAATCCTCGGAGTAAGAAAGGAAACTGACATGATAACTCGCATGGTTTCTTCTTGTTAACATTAAATAATCGACGAAGGCTGAAAGGAAGTTATATTATATTATATTTAATGCCTCTTTAAATTAATTTAATTATCTTAATTTAATTAATTAATTTAATTTGCGGAATTATTGATATTTTATAAACATCTTAGATGTTTCGAAAGAAATATCTTCAATGTTTACTCGCCGAACTGTAAAAGAAAACTGGTTTCATAACAGTCACGATCAGTCAAGTCAATGATCCGTTTTTGTTGATATTAGATGAAGGAAAAAAAGCCGAGTTCAAAATTTAATCGTATTGAAATGATTGAATAAAATTATTTTATATTTAACGCGTATACTATGTAATGTTTAGACGTATATACAATTGTTTAAATATTAGTTTATTGTACTGTATGTATAACATATATTTCTATTTCATTATCAATTGACTCGCATGCAATTGACTTGCAAATTGCAAGTCTCACATGTTATTATAGAGAAAGAAGTTAAATGTTTATTATTTTTTATTATATACTTTTTGATTATTCCATACATATGCATTTTGGGCTTAAATATTAATATATATATATATATAATTAATTTAATTGCGGAATTATTGACATTACTCTCCGTTGGCAAAAGAATTTTCTACTCTCAATTGGTAACCAAGAAAAATATTAATTAAAAAATCTCATCTAAACATACAGTCAGTTAAATAGATATCTACTATTACCGGCTGTACACATTTTTTAAGCTAATTCGGAAATTATCGAATTAATTTTTTTATATATACATATATATATGTATATACAATCATTTATGAAAATATCAAATTAATTTCTTTTTTATTTTAAATTATCATAATTTTTTGTAAGTATAAATAATTTTCTAACATATACATATTTCTAAATAAATTTTTACATGAAATTAAAACTTTATGTACAAAGTATGATTCTATTAATTTACATTATATTATTTTTTAAAAATACATTTATAGAAAATAGGTTTTTTGTTATGCTATTTTCTAGTATAATGTATTGTTTATATTTTTAATTTTTACATACTGTAATTAATGTTTAATTTCAAAAATTATCATGATCTATATTATCATATATTTCTTCTATTTCATCCAAATATAAAAGTTTTTCTTGAGCTAATTTGACTATTTTTAGGTCATCATCACTTAATTTTATAACAAATAGTGGAATTAACTCATCTCTTATATCAATAACCTGATAATCAAGACTTTTTAATTTGGTTGTTATTTTTGATAAAAGTTCTGGCTCACATATGAACTGTAACAGAAAAGGAATAAAATATTTTAAAAGAAAATAGTGAAATTAAAATAACGTAGTAATAATTTTAAAGGAGAAAAATAAATTACACTACCTTATAATATTTTTTGTCATCATCTTCTATATCCTCAATATCGGAAGCTCCAACATTTATTGCATCCTCCATTGCCTTTTCCAATTCAAATTGTTTGTTGGTTATTATAATGCCATTATGTTCAAAAGAACTGTTTATTGCACCTACTGAAACTTTAGCACTATTTGAAAGATACAAAAATATTTATTAATATTTCTATTTTAGTAATTATTAAATGCAGAATTAGAAAATGAATATAAAGCCTGAATATTTTGATTTTGACTTAGCTCTCTTACTTGATTTTTTTTAATATTGTATTAAGACGTGTCTTTGTATCTGCCATATTATGTGATACAATTTTTAAAATCATGATACAATTTTTGGGCCCATTAATTTCTATTAAAGTAGCCTTAGTTCCTTCTTTTGAATTAGCAAGTTTTTCAAGAAAATTATTTATCGTTGCTGCAGGCATGTTTAACTTCTTACAATATTCTATAACACGTGCTAATTTAGTATTTAAAGTTGGTTTTATACTTCCACCCTCTATAAATTATATTATCGAATTAATAATATATATAAAAATTAATTTTTATCGTCATTAACTTAATTATTGTTAATTTCTTATTTATTATGTCACTCTATTCTATACTCTTATTTGTCCCTTTATTATCTTTCTTTCTTCTTTTATTTTACTTAATTTTATATATATATCAATTAATATATATATATATATCAATTAATGAGGTATATTTAATATGTTATTATTTAATATATGTCTTTAATATATGTAAGATCCAAAAATTCTAATTAAATAATATTATTTAATTAGAAACTATAAACAATCTCAATATTTTTAAAGGTTATGTTATATTTTCATAAATATGCAATTACATATTATCTTTAAAAAAAATGATGAAAATATATAATAAATACCCAAAGCAGCCTCTCTTATCATTTTTCTTAATCGTGAAAATAATATAGCTCTTGTACTATCATTTTCTGATTTTATATGTTTTACATTTTGCCATTTACTATGTCCCGCGAATCTTTTACTTATTTCGAAAGATTTATAAATATTTCGATTAAAGATACAAATACGAAATATCTGATTCATATTATTTAATATTATAAGTTCATAGAGACAGTTTTTGGCTATTTATTATTAAAATAATATCTTTGGTCGATATTTACGCTCCCTATGGTAAAACTCAACTGTACATGTGAAAGAAAATCAAAATATTCAGAATTTTGAATTTTACCGCGTAAGTTAAAGATACATTGCACTGCCATTATACTATTTTCTTGTACTAAACAAGCATCATAAAAGACAATTTGTGCAAAAGCACATGTATTTCGTTTATGTGAAAACAATATTATAATAATTCTCGTAGAAATCGTATAATAAGGAACAAAAAAATTCTATAATAAATTCTGCAATGAAGAAAACTATTTTGACAAATTGTGAGCGAAATTTTATTAATGCGTCCATACAAGAAAAAACGGTATATTTTTTGGACATTATCTTTTATAACTTAATTTTAATAAAATGCATACTAATTTAATAATTCCATAATAAATATTATGTTGTCTTAAAATTTTTTACATTTACATCCTTTAGATTTATATTTATTTCAATTATTTCAGCGATTAGATGGAAGAGATCTTTTTGAAACACGTTCCGTTAACATTTACTTTGGTTCCAATTGGGGTTCATGTATTGTATCCCTTGGAAAAACAAGGTAAATATTTGCTAATACATATATTAGTTGTATATTTTAATTATTCCATTAAACAAATCTATAACAATTAAGATCATATATATTATTTATGTTTTTATTTCATAGAGCGGTTGCACAAGTATCATGTGATATCCAACAACCTAAAGCATCTCGACCAAATGAAGGTATGATTTATATTAATGTTGAATTGAATCCATTAGCAGCACAGCATTTTGAAAGTAACCGACAATCAGAAGCTGCTATTCTAATAAACAGACAATTAGAAAAATCTATAAAAGATTCCAAATGCGTAGATTTGGAATCTTTATGTATCGTGGCTGAAAAAAAGGTTATTATTGTTTTTTTCTTTTCACATTTTCACATATAATTAATTTCTTAATTTCTAAAGAATATCAAATTTTATTTGATTTAATAATATTTTAATTAAGAAATATGTATAGTTTTTAAATGAACACTTAAATTAATTTATCTATTTACCTAAAAGAAAAAGAGAAAGAATGAAAGATATTACAGTATGATATTAACATAAATATTTAATTAAATTATATTTACACATGTAGGTATGGAGTTTAAGACTTGATATCAACATTTTAAATCATGATGGAAATTTGATTGATTGTGCATCTATTGCTGCCCTTGCAGCACTTTTGCATTTTCATAGACCAGATGTAACATCAACTGGAACCAATATTATTATTCATCCATTTAATGAAAAGGATCCTTTACCACTGAGATTGTTTTTCTTACCTGTTTGTGTTTCGTTTATAACATTTGAAAGGTTAGTATTATAATATATTATATATTTTCAACTATTTAAATATATGTGCTTAATAGTTAATATAATTTGCGTTGTTATTATTATTATGAAATATATGTGTATGAGTGTGTTTTTAAATAATTGCATTATTTTTTTTATATAGATTTGATAAAATTAAACCCATAACAATATTATTTAATTTTTCTTTGTATATTTTTTTATGGAGTTTTTATATCTCTTTTATATCAAACATTTTACATATACAAAATGCTTATTAAAAATATTATGATTTTTAAAATACACAAGGAATATATAGCTTATGTAAATAATATTCTATTTTTTGTTTAGTGGAATTACTGTCATGGATCCTACTTATATGGAAGAAAGGGTTGGTGTAGCTCAGTTAACTCTCGGTGTAAATTCATATAAAGAACTTTGTAGTTTACACTTTGATTATCTAACGAAAACGTTAACTGTTGAAGATGTTATATCTGTAGCTTCTAATCATGCAGCAGAATATGCAATCGATTTAATACAACAAATTAAAGAAGCAGTTGTAAAAGATATCAGTTTAAGGTATCACTTATCTATCGACTAAAATAATATAATAATATAGATATAAGATATGATATATGCAATATTTAATAAGTTACTATAATAAAAAAGTGATAATTTTTTATTATATGTCAATAAAATTTTATATTTTATAGATTTAGTAAAGATAGCACTTATAGTTGTCATATCAAAGAGTGTATAATTGCAAACAAATTAACTACTATGTGTAATGATAATATCAGTATTAAATTACGTAACTGGAATTTCACGCAGCTTAAAAATGGTAAGAAAATTTATAAATAAATTAAGATAAATAATTCTTTAACTATCAATTTTTATATATTAGACTATACTTTAGACTATATCAGTACAATTATTATGACTTATATTAAAAACTTGTATATGTATATATCTATATTTAAAGAGAAGAGAAGGGAAAAAGAGATACATATTATATATACACATTAATAAAATTATATTAAATTCTTTCAGAAACTTGTGAAAACGATGATGACAATAAAGAAAGTAATCATATTGTGAAATTAGGTGAAGGTTTTGCTGAATTGATCACACATGAGGTATTAGTTAAAAACAAAAAAAAGTCAATTCGTAATATTTATAACAAAACAAAATAGTAATATTTATATTTTAATAATTATATATAGGCAAAAGCAATAGGAAAAGGTGGTCATAATTCGTGGTGTCCATCTTCAGAAGAAGAAATGAGTGATGTTGAAATTGTATCTATAGATAAACCTTCAAACACTATAATTAATAAAGCAGGTAAATTAGAATTTTATTCTTTCAGTTCAACTAAGCTGTTAATTTTATGAACTAGAAATAATGTTTATTGTTGTATATTTTAGAATTAGATGATGATAGTGAAGAGGAAGTTATTGAAATAGTTGATAGAAAAGATATAATGTAATACACATAGTAAAAAACATGAATTTTATATAAAAAAATCCATATATCTTACAATGACTCAAGATTATAAAATTTAATATCATTAAATATAATGATATTAATAAATATAGATGATAGTAAGGAATAATGAATTGCATGTTATTCGAAATCTAAATGTGAAATACAAAAAACATGGATAATCAAAAGGTATATTCACATTTTTTTATTTGAAGATGAAAGAAAATAAAAAACTTCACAAAAAATTGTAAATATAATTTCTTAACTTTAGATTAATAACATTTGTCAAATTTAGAGAAGACAAAACCATATATTATTATATAATCTTATACGAAATTTTTTAACACTAATACTGTAAGGTACTGTATATTACTTTGGTGCGTGTCTTGATCACTTTTAATTGCTTAATATATTATAAGGAATATAATGAATTCAAAAAAATAAATATTTTTCGATCTTCATGAAATGAAAGCATGTTAATTGTATAAATTGTGTTGAACTATTACCAACTTATCAATATATTACCATGTATATATTTTTATTTACAAGATATATAGTTTTGTATATTTTAATACTTAAAAAACAGATATAAATACATTTACATATCTATTAAGTACTTTAAAAGAAAAATTTAATTTATACAAAAATTGCAAATTTTATATTCAAAAGAAATTAAATATACAGGTCATGTAACAAAAATAAAAGAAAAACGAATATTTTTTTCCAAAGACAATTTTATACACAGTGTATACAACTCTTATAAAATACTTATTAACAAGTGAAAACTCACACATGTATGCTTTCCTTCTTACTAATATTACAATGATGAATGATCATGAATATTCATCCTTAGCTACGTTGTATCATTACTTAAACCATTCTTTTGATCCAATTTATTTGCATTGGTTTTAACTGTAAAAATGAAAATACTTAAGGCATCTTTTTCATTTACAGGGATAGTCTTAAAATGTTTCATAAGAGTCTGCAATATAAAAGCCATAAATTATTTTATAATACATATAAAGCATTCAAAAATAAGTTATATATAATAAATGATTAAGTGGTATCGAAACATGCCAATATAACAATATTATTTTTGATTATAATATTATTAAATAACTAATCACTTAAAATATAATATGATTTATGATATTTAAATGCTTACATCAGCTAATTGGGCTTTGTTTAGGCCTGGTCTAGTAGAGACTTTGTAGTGTCGTTTATAGCGCCTTAAAGTACCAACTTGTAATTGGAATAAATCCACTTCAGGAAGATCATTATCAGTTTCACCTGAATCTTCTTCAGAGTCTTTTCGTCTACGTTGTTGCTGTTGTTTAGATCTTGCACATTGTATCACTTGTTTGTGATAATCACAAATATATGTGTGACGTGCCTACATATAAAATATGACATGATTATATATAAAGAACTTTTTGTAATTAATACTATTTAATGGATATAAAGTCTATACTACATTATATTTACTACTACTTTTATTAATTGACATGTGTACCAAATTCATAAAAAATGCTTTATTCAGCTGTAATGTTATAAATAATATATTTAAAATGTAATGTATATATATATATATATATATATATATATATATATATATATATGTATATTAGAACTAAGATTATAACATTTTCCAAAAACCGTGTACCTGACTAATATACATAATTTAAAAATTATAGTGCTAAAGAAAGGTTTGTTCGCATCTCATGTATTTTCTGCTCTGTTGTGTTTTTATTAGAAGCACATAGACAAAAAGTGCAATGCATTTATTTATTTCCTTTGTTCGAGGGTGCAAAAAATACAAATAAAAAAATAATTAAACTGAATACATCAAGCTGATTGGCTATTGTTTTCTAAAATCTTGTGATTCTGCCAGAGAGATATGTAAAGCATGAAGATCAATATTAGTAATAAAAGATTTTATATATAAAATGTGCTTATAGTATGTTTTTTGACATTTAAATATATTTTATTAAATCCATTTGTTTTATCTTAAGATCTTTATGCCGAGCATGACATCCCTCTCTGTACTTTAATTCAGAAAGTGCATGCGACTCGGACAAACCTTGTGATTTCTGAGCAAAAAGTACCATTTGATCCAAATTAAGTTTGAGACGTCGTTGTGTTACAGTCTTTTGTATACGTTTGCTGTAAGAAGCATTGCCAGCTGGGCGAGAACATCGTTCGCCTTCATCAACGAGACAACAAATTTGATCTGTAGCTCCCCTAGAATCTTCTTCACCTGTGCTAAATCCGTTCATTTTTAATTCTTGATATGAATACGTAGTGCATAAGATCAATTTTATGATATTATCCTTTGTAGCGTTTCAATGTTCAAAAAAGGCAATAATCTCAATTAGACATAAACGACGAAGAGCACATAATTTTATTTTTTTCTTCTATTTGTAAAAAACATCTTTTATTCTGAATGAATTATTTTTATTACTTATTCTGAATGAATTACTACAACTTTTACTATTCAACCACACGTATGCAATCCGTAAATCAATAAATTACAATTTAATCTCTGTATAGACATAATTTTCTCCACCGAATTGTACCACTTAACTTTCTAATTTATTTGAAACAACACTGCTTACACTTTTCACCTTTTATAAAATTAAAATGCACCGAACTTTACACGAATGTAAAATAAAAACAATCAATTACAATTACCGACAACTGCTACGATTGCTCCTAAAGCAGAAGAATGTTCGCTTCTACGCGACAACAAATTTACTTTCTTCCTTAGCGTTGCGTCTGAATATAATCAAACAGAAGATAGAGTGGAAGCTTTATTGAAACTGTATGGAAACTTGTTCCAGACTAAGCACAAAACACTTTAAGAAAATATATTTTACATAGACCATCTAATGGCATTACATAATTTCTTCGGCCATCTAGTGGTTCAAAGGATATACTATACAATCTCCCTACTTATTAAAATAGCGCTAAAGTTAAACTTCAAATCTTATTCTAATTGTTGTTATGTAATTAATATTAAAAAGAATGACTTAATACAATTAATTAAATTAAGTATAATTAAAACAGAATATTTTATTTTACAAATAAAAAATATATCTTCTAAAATCTCAATTGTATACATATAGGAATTATATATATATAATAATTTAAGAAATTTTAATATTAATACTTACCATATTTTTTATATATTATACTGTATATACATATATATCATGAACTTTTATATGTTTATTTCAATAAAAGGCAAATTATATAATGTTCTACATTTAATAATTCAAATATAAAATGCTAATGATTTTATTGTGAACTTATGTAATTTGTTAAAGTTGACAAAGTGATCTACCATATGATATATATATTGAGTCCTATTTGTTTAGTAAATAATTAGCATATTCATACGCCAATATATCACATAAGACTTCTTTATGCGTGGAGGAATTCACGCAAATAATATTTTTTAACATCTATAATACCTTTTTATTATAAATACAGAAATATGCCAATATAACAATGTGCACATATGTATGAAACAACATTTAGTTTTGAACGTCTAATATAACCTATATTACAAAACCAAAAAATTAATAATTTCCTCGCACCAAGTATAATTATAAATTGTAATTTTTTTCAATAAAGCAATATATACTTTTTCAGCTTATAACTATTTATTTTATTTAATTTTTCAGATGAATAAATAAATCGACTTAATTACATAAAAATAACAATTTGTAGCCTCTTATAACTTGCATATATACTATGTAAACATCAATGGAACTGTTGCAAATACATAGAATACACCTATATATATAGATATTATGTATATATATCTATATATATATCTATATATATCTATATATATAATTATGTATTTTTTTTACATAATATATAAGTATGTTACAACACAGTCACATACATGGGATCGTGCCACACCACTCGTGCGAGTAAAGCACAATATTAAATCATAAAAATTCTTAATATATGATTTAATAGATTCATCCTCGGAACTTAACATAAAATTTAGCGACAATGCTACAAGTAAGTCAATAATTCATTGTAAGTAATAAATAAGAAACAAAAAGCTTTAATTTGATCTGTATTAATGTGTACAGACCGGATTATATTATTTTTCTTTCATTATTTACAATGAATAAAAAATGAGCATATATATATATATATATATATATATATATATATATATATATATATCGATTTTTCTTTATATTAAAATACATTTTATCCCTGTTGACCCGAATTCAAAATAAAATTCTAAAATCTTTAAATAAAACTGGAAATAAATTTTATTAGATGATAATATTATATTCATAAGTTATAACGAATATTTAAAATAATACATTTACGATTTACAATATAATTTGTAATATTATTAAAAGAAGTTTTATATACAAGTAACTGTTAATATAGAAAAAAGAAAATGATTATAGAATAATCCAATATGTGTAAAAGTAAAATTTGTGTGGAATGTGTAGGTATATTTGAAATCTACTTCTTTTAACCAAAATAAAATGATTATGAATTTGATGGTATTACAAAAGATTACCAGTAATTAAAATTGTATCTAATATACTCATATTTCAATATATACAAAGTTTCATATAAAAATTTTAATTGGGAAATAGCGTCTTTGGATCACAAACAAATGAAATTGTTATAAGAACTAATATTCGATTTTTTTGTGGAATTATAATTTAAATTATGAACTCCCAGAATTTACATTTCCTGCAACAATTAATTATATATAACATGCAAGAAATGTAATTTTTGGTAAACTTTGATTAAAATTTTAATACATAGTGAATAGTCCTGTAAAAAGGTAAATTGCAGTCAGTCATTTAATTTATGCAGTTAAGCATAATTTTTTTGTTGTAAAATAAATATTTTTATACTATAATATAAATTAATTGTTTACATTACCGAAAATTACAGTGTTATATGAATATTTTATATTTCGTCAATTTTTTCTAAAAGTATACTGGAATGGTTCAAAACGTAAATACCTGCTTTTATAGCTAAAAACTTTGCACGTATATACATTATGTAAATTTATGTTATGTAAGTATTAGGAAATTATGTCAAAAATGTAATAAAACATCATAAATTATATGTAATATATTAGACATAACAATAATATTATTTAAAGAAATGTAACTCAGCATTATATATGCTTTGAAAATCCTCAAACAAAGAAACTGTTAAGTTCTATTTAATAATAAATAGATAGATATTAAATTGTTTCTCTACAATTCATAATTATGTATGTTGAAAATTAAGTAGAATATTTTTATTCGTTACTTTAATTTTTCACTTTAAAAGATTTTGATGAAATAGATAACAATTATAAATTCAGTTTCAAAATTAATGTAAATATAATGATAAAATCATGTAAGAATTACTTCATGTATTCTACAGATACTTTGTGTGGTGCAATTTATATGCGAATACTTGTATTTATGACAATTTTAATATTTAATTTATATTTAGAAGGCACAAAATGTGAAAAGTACAAAAGACACATGAAAAGTCATTGCCAATGACATATGGTCCTGTAAATGTATATGTAAAATTACATTACAAGCACTTCGCTATATTTTCATTCTATTTTGAAGATATATATACTTCCATATTCTTTTTATTTTCATAAGTAACCAAGCCTTCTTTTTATAGTAATATTTTGATCCCATAGATAATTATACTTTTAGCAACATTTCAAGGCTAAAATTAATTTTTTATTTGTAATATTTGATTGGTTCATTATAAAATAACTTTTAATAAGTGATACCATAACAAATAAAAATAGCATCAGAAACTACAAGAAATCTAACAAATAGAAATATTATTACACTAATTTTAACATAAAGAACTGTTCGACCTACTATTCAATCAATGTACAATGCAACAGCTTTAAGGTCATTTTTTTATATATGTATAATTGAATATTGGAACATCTCATATTTTATATATCTTCTTCATTTTAAAAGATATGACATAATATATACTTATATGTTTAACTAATAATAATTAAACATTGTTAAATGTGTGTACATGTGTACATGTTTTTAAAACTGGAACAATAAATATAGGTTTGCATATAATGCATTCGTTACATGCATATACATATATATGTATCTATATGTAGATATATTTTCTTCATATAAATAAACATTCGTTTTTTTATATATATTTATATATACGTGTATGTATGTACGTGTGTATATATATATACACACACACGTATGTATATATATATATATATGTATATATATATATGTGTGTGTGTGTGTGTGTATGTGTATATATATATATAATCATTCATAACCATGTTTATGTAAACTAATAGCCACATAGTAACCTTTAAAAATTGCAATATAGTAGACTCAAAAGTCCATTCTTTAAAATCATGCTTTAGTGAACACACTCTTCTATAAACAGCATTACATATGTGTAAAAATCATGTGGTGACTATAAAGAATAAACAACAGCCATTTTGTTTACAGCTGTTTGTGAAGCTCAAACAACAGCTTTATGCATTAGCATATAGCAGATTTTGGTGCAAAAAGTCTCAAACCTTTATATAATAGGAGTTTTAGTTGCACTATTACTCTAATAAAGTCTTTGGTTAAATAGTTAATTACTACATAAAGTAACTGTTTCAGGTAACATACGGTCAACGAAGTAACAAATATTAGCTGACTTAGCTAATTCCAATCGGTTCCATTATGCTGATGTAGTTTAAAATTACATTGAACTGTCATCTATTGTTTACTTGAAATATGAAATCTTTGTCCATCTCCTTTGACATGATGTTACATAATTCAACAACTACTTTTGGTTATTTTTCGACATTATTTGGTATTAATAGATTTGTCTCTGTACCATCCAAGTATTTGGCTAAATCCTGCGAAAATAAAAAATAATATATATAAAAATAAGATTATAGGAGAAAAATCATTACATATTATTTTATTATAAGAAATAATACCTGAACAGCAATTTGTAAAGGTGTTGGTTCACCTATAGAACAGTCATCTCGCATACTAGTAGCTCGCAAGAGTTTTGAACAAGGTTTGCCAGTAAAAAGTATGAAAAGTGCATGGATTGTTCTTCGCTGTGTCAATTCTAAATGACGATGCTGATACCCAGCTAAATGTCGTCGATGACGAGATGTCGTTGGAAACCATTTTTCACATAGATTACAATATCTTTTATGCCTTATTGTTGACTGTACGAATATAAAAATATTATATCTCCTTGTTATTTTCAAATACATATTTATATAATTAATAATATTTTTTTATACTTTAAATTATGCAATGATAAAATATACATTACCTTTTTATGATAAGCTAATTGCGTTACAATATCAGTTACAGTCATATCATATTCTTTTGCTATATATTTTTTATTATCATTTGTGCTATCATTTGATGTTAACTCTTCTCTTCCTTGCAAGCATTTTAATACCTCGTTTTGAGTAGTTACAATCTCTTGATTTGTTATAACGGGTGGTGATCTTGAACTATCTCTATCTGAACTTGCATCGAAACTAAAGGCGATTTCTGGTTCTAATACTGGCATCTTATCTTCTCGTTTTTTGGATTGATTACAACTTTTATCATCTTCAATTTGTACATCTTCGTTATCAGATATCATTTCAATTTTAGGGTAAGTCATATTTTGTTCAATTTTAATATCTTGAACTTTATTTTCTATTTGATGAACATGACTATCTTGAGATATTGATCGTTCATTCTCATCTCCCAATGTTTTACAATGTTCCATATTAGTAGACATGTTTTTATTTGGCACAGATTGACTGTATCGTTTAAGACTTTTTAATGATATT